ATGAAATACTGTACTGTATGTAAGGTAAAATTATTTATGGGAAAATTAACACATTTGAAATGGTGTGTATGTATATAAGAAATATAACTATAAAAGATTTTATGATGAATTTAGTTTGTATATGGAATATGAAAAAATTTGTTTGTACTGTATATGGAATATGAAAAAAGTTTAAAAGACAAGAAACATTTGTACTTAATATATACAAATATGAGAATAGATCTAACTTCTTCATTCCCCTGGTGCTGAAGGGCCTTCGTTGTTCCGGTGCCTAGCCAAAGAACATTAATTTTGACTTGGACTAATCAGTCGAGCAATGGCCTGGCTTCTTGCAGGTTGACATTTGATCCCAGATGGTCCAAGGTGTTGGGTACTGTTCCTTCCCTCCATCCTCATATCCCAGCATCTCGTCCTCACATCCAGCCATATGGTGTTTCCTTGAATGTGTGAACACTGCCATCAAGGAGGCCATTTGCACTTGCCCTATTTCCCAAAAAAGGTATTCCTTATTCAGATTTCCATCCAGTCATTCATTCCTCAATTTATGACCATTGCCAGGGTCATTTATCATTAGTCTGACACTGCAAGTATCAAACTGCACATTCTTAAAGGTAACCTATCCTCTTGACCTTCCTCCTACCACCATAATATATGATGGGAAATGGCTCTGGTTAGGTTACGTATTGGCTATGCACGTTTAACTCGCAGGCACTTGGTGGAATGCTGTCACGCTCCTTATTGTCTGAACTGCATTCTCATTTACAGTCTTGCACCTCCTCGAATGTCCTGATTTTCAGGCCAATCATATACAGTACTTTGCTTTCTTAATTTCCCTTGTGGTCAATAATCCTTCAGTAGAATCCTTGGTATTATAGTTCTAATACATATATATGTACTAGAACTACAAACCATAAAAGCTATACAATACAATTTTGAAGCTACAGGCATATTGTAGTGAGATATCGAGTGTCTCAATGTTGCACATATGCGTTGAACTTATTTAATATTCCAGCTCCATTCAAACTGCATTTAAGAATTTTATTATTATTATTATTATTATTATTCTTGGGTAGGCTTTTCATGATAGATTGACCATGAGACAAAAGGCAGCCGTCAAGGATGTGACACCTCATGAGGTCAACTCTTCACCGTAGACTGTCTTCAGTGAAGACTTGACCTTGTGAAGCCACTGGTGTTTGCACAGTTTCAGGTGGTTACCTTACCCTGTGATGGTTTCGGGGCTTAGTGTCCCCGCGGCCCGGTCCTGGTCCAGGCCTCCTAGGTGTAGGGAATATTGAAATCTGAAAATTCTTAATTTATAAAAACTAGAAACATAATTTAAAAGAAAACAGAACTTTATGATAATGCTAGGAAGGTGTTTTATCCTTACGTGATTTAATCACTGGATAAATATTGAGCGTGTAAAATTATATTCCCCTGTTTCATAATTACTTGTCTATCTTAAATATAAGTTTCTTTCTGTAGCTAACAAGAGGCATTTTGATACAAAAAATATGCAGGTCTGTATCATTCATTCATAAGTATCATTCATTCAAGGCAGCATTCATTCATAAGTATCATTCATTCAAGGCAGAAAAAATTTTTTGCCTTGATATATTTCATTTGCTTTTAAGATTGCTAGCTAGTTCTGTAATTTTGTTATTTATGTAAGTCTTAAGCCACAATAGTGAGTGTTTTGCTATGAACCTCATGGCTTCTTAATCATGTACAGCGGGTGAAAAACTTGAATCTTCATCTTTGATTTACAAAATGTATTTCCTTCAACTTGGCTTCTCAGGAATAATTCATTATAAATCATGATGGAGCATGTTTATGAAGGTACAGTATACAGTGTGATTTATGCGCAGAGGTGTGATGTGTGCGGTATTTAGAGTATCCACTTTATTGATTAACATTTTATCCAATTGCATTGACATGTATAGAATAATAATGACGAAGTATTCAACAGTCTTCCAAATACTCAATAAAGAGAAAACCCATCCCAAATTTATACAATTGTAAAGTATTTTATAATTTATAATGCTGTATTGTATAATGTAAAGCCTTCAATAATTACTGTGCTTGCTCAGACTCTCATCATAAAAGATTTATATTACCGTAGTTAGATACTAAGGTCGTAGCCAAGATGATCTTATACTATGAAAGCTCTACTTAAAATTGAGGGCTGTAATGTTTTTTCTAATAGCCCTATCTCTGTCATTTACCGTATTTGCAGGCAGATAGGATACAAGTTTGTGGTCCACCACCAACTGAGCATGTATTGACATGCAGTTAGGTGAGGTGGTGGTGGAGGCTAAAACCGTCAGTACTGGTAGTTTCAAAGTGTTATACGACAAAGAGTGCTGGGAAGACGGGACACCATGAGCGTAGCTCTCATCCTGTAACTACACCTAGGTAATTAAAAAATTTATGTTTTTTCCCTTACAAAACCATTTGAACATTACTTTTAATTAATTTATAATGAAATGTACTAAAATAATTTTTTCCACAAAATACCTTTGTAAAATAGGTGCGTCGTATATGCTGGAAAATACGGTAATTCTTCTACCTTTCCTTAGGTACTGTAAATATATAGACATTTTGAGTATTTTCTTAAATCTTAAGATACTGCAGTACTGTATTGTCAATAATTTTAGCTCTTATTCTTTTAGTAACATCATGTTAAATTCATTTCACAGCATCATATCAGGGATGGAGCTCTGATGATACTTGCAAGTCGAGTTGCCAATAGATGAAGTTTATAAACGGTGTTCAGATATGATAAGAAAATACTTGATATCTTATTGTGGTTACCTTGAGATGATTTTGGGGCTTAGCGTCCCTGTGGCCTGATCGTTGACCAGGCCTATTGATGACCTGATTAATAATTAGGATATAGATCTGTGGATCTAAGACCCACAGACCAAGGTTTTGATGGTCAGTGGGTCCTAGTCTGCACAAAAATAAGGTTTTCTTATTCTTGTGCCACATACCTCGGGTTAGACATCTTGGATAATGCAGTCTGTATATAGTGGTGAGTGTTTCTCAAGCGAGTATAGTCTCTTGAATTACCTTTATTGTATGAGAAGATTTCTTGCGAGTGGCACAAGTGCAACTGGATGTACAGTACAGGATGTGTTAAGGACTATTGAAGACATTCTTACACAAGCCTATTGGCTCTGACATAAGGCTAGCCAGTGCATTTGAAGCAGGATGTCAGACAGCTACACTACTGTCATTCAACTTGTTAGCAAATTAGCAACATTGTTATAAGAGGCATGATAAGGATTGACTGTCTTGAACCAACACATTGTTAAGAGTAGTTTTTTAATATAAATAAATGGATAGTAATGAAAGACCTGATTTAGGGTATTGTCTGCAAACAAACATTCTTCAAGGATTTTTAGGTATTACTGATATGATCTTTACACATAACAGCATTGTATCCTATTCAAAATGATAAGTTACAGGAAACCGTAAATGGGCATGTATGAGCCATTTGCATAATGTACTGGGTATTATGGCTTTTTTCAAGAGCCTGTTTCTTAAACAAATTTAAGCCTACTTGTACATGAAGCTATTTAGCCTTCCATATGGTCAGAAGCTGTGTCTAGTGAGAAGTATTTACAAAGAAGCACGTTATCTTTGTTATATATAATGACTGCCTCGTTATCTTTATTGAACATGTTCAGCATTACTTGACAATAGCAGGATCATGTCTAGATTTTAATGCATTTGTGCACATGTGTATGTCTTGGCTATGATAGCTTTTTTACCAGCATCAAAACATCTGTACCATAGGATAAATGTGTTTAGTTTATAATGGCAAGTTTCAGCATTCATCTCAGGTTATATTAGCAGCTATATCTCCCTTTCAGAGTTGTTACAGGTCACACAAGTGTCGCTAGGCAAGGGTCGTAACACTTCATAAATGGAAATTGCATACTGTACTGGCAGCCATCTCTGTTTCTTGTTATAAATGTACTATATTCAGAATCGTTCATTTCGGTTCTTGCTCTCCACAGAATTAGAGTACTGTGGATTCAGATGAAATAGTTTCTGGTTATTTTCTCTATAATAAACTAAGCTTGTGCATTTTATGGCTAATGAGGAGCAAGCTACGATTCTGTCTCTTCTAGCTGCTCCTATGTTGAGGAGGATGAGGTTATTCTGCTAGCAAGTCCTCTTATTTTGGCAGTCATAATGTGGCTGGAAATTAATCCTCAAACTGCACACCAAATTTTTTGATACATTTCCTGGGGCCAGATTCACGAAGCAGTTACACAAGTACTGACGAACCTGGGGCCAGGTTCACAAAGCAGTTACGCAAGCACTGACGAACCTGGGGCCAGATTCACGAAGCCATTACGCAAGCACTTAGGAACCTGTCTATCTTTTCTCAATCTTTGGCAACTTTTTTACTGCTATTTAACAGTTAATAATAATAATAATTTTTATTTAGGCAAAGGTACATACATAAAGAGATTTTACAAAGTTTGTTGGCTTTATAGATAAGAGCTAGTACATACAATGCCTAAAGCCACTATTACGCAAAGCGTTTCGGGCAGGAATGAGCTCCGAAGTACCAGGAGGCTGTTTATAACAACAACAACAGTTGATTGGGAAGTTTTCATGTATGTAAACTGTTTAATAAATGTAACCAAAGCCGTCAAAGATTGAGGAAAGATGCACGTACACATTCATAAGTACTTGCTTAACTGCTTTGTGAATCCGGGTCCTGGTGCATAAAAAAGAAAAATGATTCTCCATTTGCAGTATATCACCAAACCTTATTTCTGATGTGTCAAGAAAAAATCTATTCATTTTAGTTTGGCCACATGTTGCCATTATGTTTAAAATTAATTTTCAGGATTTGACTTTTCAAGTAAACTATGTGTAATATTTTATCACATCCGGCATATCTCCTGGTCCATAAATGTCCTTGAAGTTTTGCATGGCATCAATTTTTCTGAGCATAGGTGTAAATGAAGCACCTGACATAGTGCAATTTTTTTTAATGTCCAGGAAAGTAACCAAGGCTTTTATTTTTTCCCAATATGGTAAACTACAGTCAGTGTGTCAAAAGAAACTACATAGAATATTTAAGGACTTTGAATATTAAGTGGCACATGTGAATCTTTCACAAGTGACAGGATCATTGTCGGTTTATCATTTGAGAATGACAGGAGCAGTTTAAGGGTTAATACCCATCCCACACACACATACAAAAAGAAAAGAGATGACATCTTGGTCTGTCCCAGACACCTTATGATAGGGGTACAGGACAGACTGAAATGTCACTTTAACTTTTTTTTATGACTGGAATGGGTTCACCTATTTGTATTTAGTTGCTGGAAACATTGGATGGTTCCAATAATGTTTTGCTCATTACCTTTATTAAATTTGAAACTATGGTACAGTACTTAGATAATTTCACAAGACATTCCTGTTTTTAATTATGTAACTAAAAGCAGAGTCAGGAAATGTGGCTTATAAGAAGAGATAAAATTATATTTTGTATATTAAACAATTTATATCCAAGTTATCAGTACTTTAATGTTGTGTGTTTCACATTTGCCAGTACAGTACTGTATTGTATGACCTGTGATGTGCAAAGTCAGTTTAACGTGTAAATTTTAATTCTAAATGTAGGTTGTTTATAATTGGTATATTATTAGAATTACAAGTTCTATAATAATAGAATACATTGTACATCAGCAGCATTAGAACAAAACTTCAAATGCTTAACACAAGCTAAAGTTTCCTGTAATGTGTGGCATTGGGCATGCATGCGGCAGAAAGTGAAACACCTTAATGACTTCAGGGACATGTACAGTGATGACTGGAGTCTCATCCAGCCATGCTCTTGTGTTGTGAATGAAAATTAAGAGATTTCTGACAGCATAAACAAATATGCAGCATAAGTAAACTCGGCTCATTTAAGAGCATGTGTAAAGTAGACAAAACTAGTACAGTATTGACCTTTAACTTTATTTGGCCTGTTAATGGCTAATACATTAATTTATTGTGACTTGCAGTTATGATACACGTATAACAAATTAAAAATATTTATTACTAACATGCTTGTATCATTGCCATTCCTTTAACATTGCTGACAATTAAAAATTCATTAATTTCAACTGATAGCTACAGAGCCTTGTTAAGTGTCTGCCTTGGATCCTTAAAAATGCCCTGCTGTCTGTTCCATTCTATATTTATTCTCTTCCTATTTTATTCCAGTTTACAGTAAATATGTGTACTGTAGTGTTGCTTCTGTCACTTAACATGACTACCACAACCCTTCAAAATTCATTTCAGCATTTGGCTTTTAGCCTGAATCTTATCATTCCATAATATATGGAAGGTTGTAATACTTATGGTAATTCTGTATTTTAATTTTGAAAGTACTGGTACCTAACCTGGAAAATTATTTAGTACCTTCTGTGGTACTGTACATAATACTAGTTAGTAACAAATTCCAAGATATAGTTCCAGAGCAAAATGGGGCCCTTGTGGCCGAGTGGGACAGCAATCTGGGGTCGTAGTTCTAAGGGCCCGGGTTCGATCCCCGGCTGAGGCAGAAACATGGGCAGAGTTTCTTTCACACTGTTAAAAGATCTTACAAATGTTACTGGTTAGAGCAATGTGGGGAAAATTCACAGGCAAAGTGCCTGCCATCTTGGATTTTGTGATATGCAAATTTATTTGAGCCAGGTCTCTAGATAGATCTAGTATCCAAAATTTTATTAAAAAATAATCAACATAAGCCGCAAGATGAACAGCGGAAAATGTAAGAGCATCTTGTGATGAATAGTTGTTGTGGTGCAACTATGCTGACTGAAGTTCAGAAAGCATAATCAATAATTATAAGGGTACTGAATCTCACTAGTCACAATCACACCATTAATAATACATTGAAAAAAGGTACTCACCAAGGGTCAAAGTGTTGCTCCACATAAAATCCCTGTATGATGCTTTTATGTTCTTATTTGGGATACAATAATTGGTGCTGTGGTGGATTTTGGTGAATTTGACGCCTATACAGAGGAATTAGGTCAAGATGCTGAAATTTTATCAGCTGACGCCCCTCTCCCTATATATTCTAACAGGCCTAATGCCATGTAGTTACTGTGATAACATACATAAACTAAGAATATTAAACTTTAAAACAGATATACTTACTGATCAGAGCTATCCTTTGTCGTCATCAGCTGTATTGTGACTACAATGTGGCTTAGTATTTCTTGATGTGGCTATTAGAGGACAACATATATTCTGGATATCCCATAAAGAAATCAAAGAACAAGGTGCTAGTCGAGGACGATTATAAGCAGTTTATGCAGCAACAGTATGGAAGATTTTTACAAATAAGTAGTTATCAAAACAATACATCAAGCTTGAAAGACAATATCAGTATAGAACCCTCTGTCACAGAACATTCAAAATGTTCCTAGGAATCATTCAGAATGCTAATACGAGAGCATGATGACAAGATGAGTGATATCAAAGGAGTTAGGCTTACAGAAGATTTTATAGAGCAGCACATGAAACATTTGTAAAGAAAAGTATTTTGACCATCTTGAAAATCAGGACTTTATACGAGGATGAAAGCAACTTTCAGTGGAACGACACAGTTTCAACAGGTGCAGATTTCTTTCTAACAAGTGTTCATAAGTTAGTCTTGTGGCCAATACAAAATCTAGCCAAACATTTCCCACAGTTTCAGTGGCAGGGGAAAGGCCACAGAGAGATCACATTTGAAAGCTATTACAAATAACAAATTGTGTACTTTGCAAACCATTCATTCATTCATTCATTCATTCTCTCTCTCTCTCACCCCCCCCCCCCAATAGTTGCAGATGGGACAGGAACGAACGGCCTCTATTGTGTCGTGTCAGTGTCTGCCAAGGTCATTAAGAACTGTGACCATGAGGGGCAGGAAGAGGAAAGAACTAAAGTGGGGGTATTGAGTCTAGGCCTGCATTGGCAATAAGATATCAGAGGACACTCAAAGGCAGGGGACGGGACCATGCACGGAGGATGGTCATGGAGGAAGGGACATGGATGTGGGAATGGGTCGGTGAAGATTTCTGCCAGCAGCAGACTGAAGAGGCAGGAGAATAATGCACATCAGTTGAGCTCACAATGGCAAGGCCATGGAAATAGTTCTGGAAAAGGGGACTAGAATGAAAATGTGATGAAAGTTCATGACGATTAGCACAAGCATATGTGACACTCATGAAGAAACCCAGGTTCTATTACTGATGCCTCGCATTGCAAAAGGTTCATTTTATAATGAACACAGGAGCTACAAAGCACATGATCAACATTGTGATTTGTGCAGTGAACTAGTAGGGTTGTATAAGTAGCCTTAACATGGTTGGATTCACCCCAAATTTGCCAAAAGAACAGTGCACCCATTCAAGTTGAAGCCCCATGGCCAAATTTCCAACAAGTATGGCACCGATACGAGGAGGGTACATATTCTAGGACAGAAAATTTGACTCTCCAGAGTACAAGCAAGGTCAGAATGGTCCAATTGTCTTGCAAAGTAATTTGAGCAACACTTAGGAGGGCTAGCACACTTCCTACGAAGGGTGTGGATAAATATGTCCACCTGGACGATGGAGTGCCCCTGGTACTCTATTATAATGTTGGTATCATACCAGTCTTGGAGGTCCCTGCCTCCAGCAACAAGGTTAAGAACATAAGAATGAAGGTAACTCCAGAAGGCCTATTGGCCCATATGAGGCAGCTCCTATTTATATCCAAAAACCCCAACCCTGTAGAATTGGTTTTGTAGTTGTACAAAAGCTTGCATTACGCAAGATATTATTGGTGACTTTTACCAGAACCTCAACAATGTGGAGCAGTGAAGTAAATTGGTGGCCTTCTATTGAAAATACATCAACAACATGTGTGCCAAACTATCATGAACACAAAGGCAATGTTTGAGCTAATGAACCACAGTAAACAAATATACAGCTGGAGATAATCAACAACCACATTCTCGTCAGTATAATTAAATTCAAATATTTAGCCAAAGTAGGAGGCCCAACCATTTCATTTAATGTAGGAGCTTGCAAGGCATTAGAGTAGAGCTAAAGGTGCATATAATGACATTTGTATACATTGATTTTGTATTAATAAATGAAAAAGTAATACCAGAATATCACTGTAAATACTGTAAATACCTGTAAATGCAAAGAATGATATCATTACGTACAGTAGTCAGTCAGTATGGTTCAGTTTTTCTGGGTGTCACTACAGTCAGTTGGCCAGCCAGGTCAGGTTGGCAATACATAAGACACGTACAGCCAGCCTTAATCAGTGAATGCAATTCATGTTGATTCAGTGGATTGATCAATACAAGCTGTCAACATTTTCATTTATTACCCCAAGAAGCCATGTAAACCAGTTCTAGATGTGTACAGTATCCTCTAAGCTAGCATCCATCAACCGATCAACCACCCAGCCTGTTTTTCTGCAGAGAAGATAATCACAATAACATGGCTGAAACACATAACCCAACCCATGTGAATACTTACATGAAATGAAAGTGATGGCATTTCAGTCTGTTCTGGACCCTTATCAAATTGTGACACAGTAAAAGTATGGGAAAGTGTATATATAAGGAGTTTTAACTCCTTATATATAAGGAGTTTTTATAAATATTTTAAAACAAATGCCTGGAGGCTTAACAACATCTGATATTAACATGTCAACTATATCTGTTCTTAAGCAAATTGACCCACACTCTCCCTTGCTCATATTTCTTCCTACTTTTAAGTCAGGTTGAGTAGTTGTGCACTGGCTGCTGATATGAATATACAGAATATATATATTTACACTACATTATATACAGTACAGTACTATATAACATTTGTTGCCATTATTATAAAGAATACAGTAAATGTTAAAATACTCTATTATAACAAAAATAGTTTGTTCTAAAATTATGATACATCTTCTACATCAGCAAATACAGCACAGTACTATTGAAACATAATGGTAATCTTACTGTGAGAAAATATTGAAGCCATACAATGAAATTCAACCCATATCACTGAGCTCCTAATGCACATGCACTATCAAATGGATCATAACGGGCTTAAAGGTATCTGCAGGTTCAGTATCATTGTATGACTTCTGTATTTTAACATAGATATATTGTGTTTATCTTTAACATGGATGAGTAATATATAAAATATGCAACAAATGCTCTTACATACTACTGTTTTTAAACACATGATGTATTAGCTGAATGTTAGTAATAATACAGTAATTATTATTAATGTGGGTTATTACAGTAAAATTAGCATTATTATTATTATTAGATTAAATCAATGATTTAGTAATTGGGATGTACCTCTCAATCCTAACCACACACTCAGACCTTGACAAAACACTCAGAAGAATGCAAAAGACTTTTTGTAATTCTTTACATAAATTTCACAAATACACAAGTGTGGATTTTTATCCTATTAGTATTATAATAATAATACTGATTCAGCTGAATGCCAATAATAATTATTATAATGATAATTATATATAATGATTATAATAATTATCATTAGTACTCTAACCCAGAGCAGTTGCATCCCAGTATTCTGGGATGCAACTGCTCTGTTTTGCTAGGTCAGGTTATGAATAACATTAGGATATACTGTACTGTCTGTGCTCAATAATTCGAATCATTTGGGGCTCACCCTACTCGAATTAGCCATATTTCTTACCAGGGATGTACAAAAGTCAGCAAATTCCCAATTTGTTGCACCACAACCCTGTTACCTCCACAGTGTACCCCCCTTGCATTTTTTAGAAGCTACCTGCTTGCTTCTGCTGCTTGCCTGCAAATGATGAGCACGAATTCATTCAGATTACTGGAATTTGGATTACCATGCTCTTACATACTGAAAGCAACAGTGTAGAAACCACATGACAACCATAATATCATAATTGCACAACAAATGCAGTGGCATTTGATGCCATGTAATATTTGATAACACTGCAATTCTCAATGCTTATAAAATATTGCCTTATAAATAATTCCTTACATGGAAGATTACACACATGGCTATTTAATATAAGTCATAGAAATATAATACATAATTATGTTCTACTGTATATTTTTTAAATAAATTATTATAGTATTTTACAAGAAGGCAACAAATTTAACTGGGAAATACAAACAAAATACAGGTACAGTATTCAGGACAAAACTCTTCCAATATACTGTAGTTACAAATGTCATAAAAACCTTTGAAAGAACACTGCTTCACGAGTACTATTTCTGTAAAGGCCCCTTCTTTATGTGTTTTTAACACATATCCAAAGACTGAATATTAAAAACTGTCCTGTTCACTGGAGTACATGTATTTGTAAGCATTTATTACTCTGAAGTAATATTACTTTTTGACAACCATGATCAGATTTTGCAGAGTATATTACTGTACTGTGAAAATCTCAGCTGCTTCTAAACTAAAATTATGTCTAAGTGATCTATTAAAAATAAAGCATAGTTCTATCCAATGGATGATCCAATTTGTGAGGCCCAATTTGGTGTTTCAATTCTGCATGCCTCCTTACTGCCATTTTAATTCATCACAATATTCCATAATTAGTAGCAGTCAAGCCCACACCTTAATCGTTCTCTCATTACTGAATAGTCAAAACAGTGCATATTACATCTTCTATGCCTTATTAATTTCGCTTAAAAGATTTTATATTACTTTTGTTTTAAAATGAGTCATATTCATTACTCATCACTGGAATAACATATTAACTTGATATTAATTATAAAAAATTAAGTTTTGCTGGGTACCAAGTCGTATTGAGGTTGTCTGCAATTTAGCAGTACCATCTTGACGTGTCCCATCACCCAGGAGTCAATTCCTTACTCTGGCGTCTTCTCTGTCATTCATAATGTGAACCACAATTATTGGAGATACATAGCTAACTACTATGTATAGCTACATTTGCCCGAAACGCTGTGCGTATTAGTGGCTTTAGGCATAGTATGCACTAGTTCTATCTAGAAATCCAACATTCTGTTTGTAACTCATCTTGTATGTACTGCATGTACTTTTACCTGAATAAACATTTATTTATTTAACTATGACACTGTATTTCAAATGTGACCTATTCTGCAGTCTTCCTCTTATCTAGTGAAACAAGCAAATGTAGCTTGCAACATCATAAGTTGTACTTCACCACAAATTATTAACCCATGGGCATATAATGGAACAAGAATTGCATTTTCAACTTTCTGTTATTTATCCTCTAGTTGACTGTCCTGATTTTCAAGGCTATTACATGTACATGTACTGCTTTCCAACTGTTCCTACAAGTCACATGTCTTTCAATAGCATCCTTGGAGAATATGACACTTTTGACATCAATTATGTCTTTCTGTTCTAATATTGACATCCTGAATGATACATAGGGCTCTTGATTATTTTGTAATGGTGTTATAAAGGTCCTATAGTACAGTGATCTGCATCCTCAGCTCGCAACCAAGGCACCGAGTTCAATCCCCAAGCAGAACAGAAATGGTTGAGTGTTTCCTTTCACCTGATACCTCTATTCACTTAACAGTAAAATAGATTCCCGAGAGTTAGGCAATTGTTGAGAGTTGCACCCTGAGGGGGGTCAGTGGTCAACCTAGTGGGTACCTCAACAAGCCTACGTACATTTTTCCTGTTATCAACAATGGAAATTAATTACATAGCCATATTGATTTGGTGCTTTCTTCTGATAATTTCTTAGTAGGCAACACGAGCTCTACATACTCTGAATCTATTATTATATTGAATATTTATTGCATAAATAAGCTTTAACCATGAACTTTCAAGTAAATATAAAATACTGTACTGTGTCAGGTTGTCATAAGCTTTACCAAAGAATATTTTTAACAAAACTCTTAACTTTAATCACTAATATAATTGATCTATATGAACACACATATCTTGTTAGAATTTTAAACTCACTCCAGAGCTCCAATATTGTTTCTCTCCAGCATGATCTCTCGGTATGTATTGCTTGTTCAGGTTTTTCTGTAGTCTTTTAAACATTCTGAATCCTGATATAGTTCTTTTGCATGAGTTTTCTCATGTATAATCTGTTTAGCTTTTTCAGCAAAGTCCTTTAGACACACTGGACACTGATATGGCTTCTCTCCTGTATGTACTCTCTTATGTCTTACCAAACTAGATTTTTCTGCAAAGTCTTTCAGACACACTGAACAATGATACGGCTTTTCTCCTGTATGAACTCTCATATGTCTTGCTAGATCCGATTTATCTGAAAACTGTTTCAGACAATATGAGCACGTGAATGGTTTTTCTCCAGTGTGAAGTCTCATATGTTTAATTAAATCAGATTTTCTTGATATGTACTTTTGACACTCTGAACACTGGTATTGTTTCTGTCCTGTATGAACTTTCATATGGCTTATTTGTTCATATTTTGTTTTAAAAGATTTAAGACATTCTGTACATAAAAATGGTTTCTCCCCAGTATGAATTCTCATATGAATTACTAAACCACTTTTATTTGAAAAGTACTTTTGACACTCTGTACATTGATACGGTTTCTCTCTTGTATGAACTTTCATGTGTGTTACTAATTTAGATTTTTCTGAAAATCCTTTTTGACACACAGAGCACTTAAATGGTTTTTCTCCTGTATGAATTCGCATATGTATGACCATATTATAATTTGGCGAAAACTCTTTGAGACACTGTGAGCACTGATGTCGCTTCTCTCCCGAATGAATTCTCATATGTGAATATAGTTTAGACTTTTCTGTAAAACCTTTTGGGCACACTGTACATTGGTATGGCCTTTCTTTCATATGGGCTCTCACGTGGCTTATTTTTTCAGATCTCGACTTGAACTGTTTATGACACACTGAACATTTATAAGTTTTCACTTTTGCATGAACTCTCATGTGTGCCACTAGCCCGTGTTTTCTTGAAAATTGCTTTGGACACACTGAACACTGAAACAGCTTTTCTTCTGAATGAATTTCCATGTGATCATTTTTTTCAACTTCTGTTTTAAAGTGTTTATTGCATTCCAGACATTGATATGGTTTATCTCCTTTATGAACTCTCATGTGTGTTACTAACCCATTTTTTCTGGAAAAATTCTTAGGACATTCAGAACACTGATATGATTTACCTTTCATTTGAACTCTCATATTTTTATAGAAAATATATTTTAGAATATGTAGTCTGAAAAAGTTACTGATAATTTTATCTTGTTTGACTTGCTATGTGAATTACTATTGTAGATCTGTAGCCGACATCACAAAATGATATTCATGCAGTCTGAATCACTATGCTGTATACGGTACTAATATTGTTTCTCTCCAATACGAACTTATTCAACTCGCCTCACGTTTGATCTATTTATATTTCTCTTGCCAAGCTTCGCAGAAATTCGTGGAAAAATGTAAAGGATTATTATTAGAAGAAATAATGATTAAAAAAAGGACAGAAAATAAAAAAATATAAATTCATACCCCTGAGTGTGATCATTAAATAAGATTCCTTCACAGAACTATGATCTAAATGTGGCCATTTTGGTTTAACAGGATAAAGTCCAAAATCATCAACAATTGGTAATGCTGTAAAATATTACTTCCCAATCCACAACAAGGTCTTTAAACATTACTTTATAACAGACAACAACTATGATATAGAGATAAACTTCATCTTGTAGATGTCAAAATGCAACACTTCCTATATATAAGTAAATTTTTACTGCTTTGGATTATAGTACTGAACAGAAAATTTGAATGAATGAACATATATACATTAGCCCCTTAAGCACACTCACACTAAGCCCAATTTTAGCATGATGGGAGCTAACATTGCCCGACACTCGTATACTTCATTACGTTACATTGACTACATAAAGTAGTATTTCCTTAACTTACATTAGATTGATGGCCTTGGGTGTTGGTGCTTCATACTGTACTTCTGGCATGATGGTGAACTGCAAAAGAATATGAGATCAATGAGACTCAAAAGGAAATATGTCATGAGTCCTCCATAAAGGTTAGATAAACATATGTACTGTATTGTAGTTAGAAAAAAATTGTATTCAGTATAAAATGTATTTGTAAGTTAATATTTTGGAGGGTGGGGAATGGATTAATTCAATTCCCTTTATTTCTTATGGGAAAAATCGCTTCGACTTACGATATTTCGACTTACGATCCGTCTCTAGAAACGGATTACCATCGTTAGTCGAGGCCCCACTGTACAAGAGTTCTTACATTCTTGTACAGCCACTAGCATATATAGCGTTTCGGGCAGGTCTTTAATCTTAATTTTTCCCCGGAATATGACCTGCCAAATCATTTAACAACCAGGAACCCATTTACTGCCGGGTGAACAGAGGCTACAGTTAAGGATTGGCGCCCCCAGTCAATCCTCCCTGGCCAGTATACAAACTCAGGCCAAAGTGCTCGCAAAGCACCGGGCGAGTGTTTTACCACTGCGCCACAAGGACTGCTTCTTACTTATCTTACGACCACATACTGTACCTTATGTTACCTACAGTACAGTAATTCGACCACTTTACTACCCCTTGAAACTATAAAAAATCAGGGTAATTTAAAATTAGTTTACCAAAAATTTTAATTTCTAAGCCTTTAGAATATTGAGGTCTACTTCCTGAACCTTATTATGTGATTCTTGCTCTAGAAATTGCTAATTTGGTACCTGCATAATAATCAACAATTACTGTAGGGAAGTGTAGGGAAGAAAAGAATACATTAAGCACTGAGAGAGCTTAAGCATGTAACACCATATATAATTTAATAACAATAATAATAATAATTCATTGTGTCAAGGGACAGGAAGCTAGTGTATTCATACACATTAGGCTTATATCAAGGCCAATTCCGCTAAAGGTCAAATTACTGACCCCCGCCCAGGATGCAACCCATCAACAAGCTGACTAACTCCTGAGTACCTTCTGAACGGTAGGTGAACAGTGGCATTAGGTGAAAGGAAATGTGCCCAACCATTTCTGTCCCGCCTGGGATTCGAACCCGGAAATCTTGATTGTGCGTCGAGAACGAACCCGACTGTACTGTACTACCGGAACCCTTATCTAAGAATAGAGGACACAGCAAAAGGTCTATTGAAACATACAAGGCAGTTCCTACTTATATCGAAACTCATTCATATGCAAGCCTAGTACGTTTATTAAGCAAGTCTATTAGCCTAGTATGCAAGGTCCAATTTGCCTAACAGGCAGAGCAATTTTTATTAATTCAAATAATTCTTTCCAAATTGGTTCATTCTTAACAATATTATTATATTAGGAACATAAACTACTGACTAGGTTCGGTTGATTAGCTTAAATTAGGTTAAATTTCTATGTTAGTTTTCATTATGAAAGTGCCCAAAATGCTATGCGTTACTAGTGGCTTTAGGTATTGTATGTACTGCCTCTATCTTTAAATCTAACAGAATCTTTGTACTGTAACTCTGCAACTATGTATGTACTGTTCCTAAATAAATTATTATTATTATTATTATAAATAATCCCAATCATATAATACAACAAAAATCTTCATCATTTCCTAAGAGAAAATGTTTGAAAAATTTAATACCATTTCCCAAAAATTTGCCATATTAGGCAAATTTGCTTGGAAACAGCTCATTAAAATTTAAATAAATACAATTTGTATTTCGGTATATGTATGTATACATACATAATATACATATATATATATATTGAGTTACAAGCAGAATATTGAATTTCTAGATAGAGCTAATATATACTAGGCCTAAAGCCATTAATACGTGTGGCACTTTGGGCAACATGTGCGAAAAAGAAAACTTGAACACTAAGACAAGGCTAATTGACTAAATTAAGACTAACTGACTAAAATCCCACATCTATTATATTATATTACCCAGTCATTTGTTCCATAAATCCACAACTCTGTTTCCTGACCAGTATTTACCCAGGTTTTTCAAGACCAGTATTTACCCAGGTTTTTCAAGACCAGTATTTACCCAGGTCTTTCCTGATTTTGCCTACATTAGTGTTCTGTTTAACAAGTTTTTTGTTATAATAACTCTTCTCTGCATTACCTGAAGATGACAAAGTTGGTGTCACTGGACCAGAGTCTTCTGCTGACTGTACAGACTCTGCTTTGGTCTGCAGGTCAGGCTTGGTTATCAGACTTGGCAACAGATCAGGCTTTCTAGTCACATTTTTGGTGCAGGTCAGGCTTGGACGCCAGACTTGGAAGCAAGTCAGACTTGGACCTCAAACCTGGCCACCACAGGTCAGACTTGGAAGGTCAGACTTGTGGCACCTGGCCAGGTGCTGCTCTTATGGACGACGAAGATAAGTCAGAAAACTCCACAAAAGTCTTCAAAAGTCTGACGCCACTAAACCCGTTAGCAAACAGTGTTCCCGTGACCTCAGACTCTTGAACGAAATTACATTTCGAGGAAAAAAAGTATATAAAACACAATTTCCAGCAACTTCTCATATATATATATAAAAGTCAGATATCCGGACTATTAATTTTGGCCGAATAGAACAGCATTTAAGTTCAGTCTTAGAATCAGGGCTGGAGAGGGAGCACCGTTGACAAACCGATGGCTTTCTGTCCCCGCCGCGGCCACTAGAAAGAGCTCTCGGGTAAATTCAGGTAAATCCTTTGTGGGGGAATGATGTCGTGACTCGTCAGGGACTCTGGTCGATTCGTACATGAACTCTCTCCTATACCGTCTGTTTCGTACACAAAAAACTAACCAGTTCGTTCACAGGCTATTTCGTACTCACCTATTTGTACTTACCTAGTTGTGCTTGCGAGGGGGTTGAGCTCTGGCTCTTTGGTACAGTTCCTAAGCTAAGTAGCTTACATATGTGGTGAGCTAGTATCATTGATGGGTGTATCCTGCACAACCTATTGACTGCCAGTTGAAAGGCGAGACCAGAGAGCTCAGGCTCAACCCCCGCAAGCACAATTAAGTGAGTACAACACCCCCTATCCAGCGGGCAGTGTTGGAAAGGTTACAATCATTCACACTTTCAGGTAGCAAACAGAGGATATTTGGCTAAAATTTCTGATAGATCATTTTGAATGAAATAAAGTACTGTAGGTACACATTTCTTGTGCTCTATAATGCTTGTTATAGAGCTGTCTCTAAAATTACATTTATCTTTTCGCACTCCATCACATAGTGACAGAGAGTGTGCAAATATTTTAGCCGACATCATTTACATTTGGGTATGTCCACATCAGCAGGTATGTAATGCAAATTCCCAGACATACTTAGAGCAGAGTACTTTATTAGCCCAGCAGTAATAACATGCAGAAGTCTGCTGATTTTACGTGGTCCATAGGTGTATGGCTGGCAGATTACATTTACTGTATTTCCTATTAGGAGGTTATTTAATGTAATTATGCACAAAAATAAGAGTCCAAATAGGTTACCACTATTCCTGATATATGTATCTGATACACTATAATATAATAGATACATTGTATTGTAGTGGTATCAGGATGCCTCATTGAACAGTTTCCTCTGTATAGGTATGAGTAGAAAGTTTAGAGATTCGGTTGTGCGTGTCTGTAATTTCAGCCACAAACTAGTAGAGTCGAGGGAAGCTTTGGCTGATTTATGGCTATTTATAGTCATTACTTTTAGTGGTTTGGCTTGCTTTGGCATTTGCCAAGATTTTGATTTTGATAAATTTTGAGTCTTGGATAACTCCCATTTTTTTGTGCAAGTGTTGATTATGTGTTTTTGTAACCATTGGGTCATTTCTTTATATCTATTTACACGATAATGTTATGTGTGTAAATCACGAAAATTAACACGTGATGAAAAATGTGACAGTGCAGTGTCAGACCACGGAGGAAGAATTGAAACAGGAATTTCCTTAAGTACTTTCGTATATTAATACATCTTCAGAAGGATTCCTTCTGAAGATGTATTAATATACGAAAGTACTTAAGGAAATTCCTGTTTCAATTCTTCCTCCGTGGTCTGACACTGTCACGATAATGTTATGTGATGCAATTCAAGTCCACCGAGATTATTTTATGCCACCATGCAAATTCTTTGTCATCAAAAGTTTTTGCTTGTCTTTTTTTTTGTGCTTACAACTTTTCTCTCTACTTTTACAAATGTGCATATTTTTGTTTCCAGGTTTGTATTAACAAGGCTAGAGACTGCATGCAAGCAATGCATTGTAGAGCCAAGATACAGAGAAAATTTACTGCATTTAGACCAGTGCACATTTTCCCAAAATTTCCAAATTTTATTATTAATATCTTTTAGCAAAGCAAAAACTTCTTTTGTGTATTTGTATTCCCATTTAATTATCTGGATATTATGATAACCATCTTACCACAAGAGAAACTAAACTTACACCATCAGTTCAAAGATGTTCACAAATATGACATTACTTTCAGACATTGTTAGTCTTATAGGGGTGGATGAGCATGTATATGACCAAGCTTGTACTGTACTGTTATTTATCTGAGAGTTGAGTATCGATACAAGACGACCTTACTCTAAAATGCAATACTGTACTGTGAGTAAATACCGAGTTCATATAATGGGACGGAACTTGTATCCCTGAATGTGCGTTTGATATCATCATATGACCTCAATTTTTTGTCATGGGTACATCACGTTCTTGAGATTGTTGTACAATACTGTACTTAGTTCAAGGGTACTGATAGTAAATATGCTAATATTTCAAATTAAACTGATCCAGTAAAATTACTGCATCATACCCAATTACTTAACCTCCAGTAGCAGATGTCCAACAGTGTAGCTGTGACATAGTAAGAAAATTTTTTGCAAATCTTACCATGTATATATGAAGTTGCCTTTAGCCCATCATGATCCAGTCAGTAGTGCATGTGCCCAAGGAGTTCAGAGATGAATGTTCGATCATATCACATGGCTTCAATATTTTCTCAACCTAGTACAGTACTGTATTGTTGTGAAATTCAATTGCCATTGCTAGTAAAATGAATATTCGAACTGGTACCATTTTTATCACTATACAGTGTTTATATAACATTGCATCTATAAACTTAAAACTGATGCCTACAGTTATTAGGATAATGAAATAAATATATTACAATTACATATATATTTATATTGGTGCAAAATCTTGACAAGAACAACTTGGCCACAGATGTTAAAGGAAACTAATAGTTTGCTACTCAGTTGCTACTCGGTAGTCAATAAATGATCTCAAACACAGGGCCTGGGAGAGAATGAGGAAATAGAGATGTAGTAGCAATAGTTATGAAGGTGTATGGTGATATGGGTGATGATTGTACGATTCCAAGTGATCATTTCGGCAAGAGAATAGTAATGGAGGTGTGCACACATTATAATGAATGCTGGTGTCATTGGAGTGGAGGGCTGTAAGACTGGTGGAAGCATAACCCTATAGTCTGCCAATAAAGTGTTAAAACAGCAGTGATGATGATGCAGGAGAGGTGACAGGTAAACACTCCAATGGGTGTGATGATGACTGATGAAGATACAGTTACCTAGAGTGGCAGGACAACAATACAGCCTACCTTAGGATTTTGACAAAGAAGTAATGATTATACATGTTGGTAGAATGAACACAAGAATGTACACAAGAATTATGGTGATATGAAGACTGGGAAGACAAGAGGCAATACCGTCATACTAGTTTGTAGTACACCTCAAGAGAGATTTGCAACTCTTGTGATGGTGGTGGCTGAAAATATAATGAATTACAACAGTAGCATAATGCTAGTGATGCAGGAGTGATGATATAGGGATGTTAAGTGGTAGAAGTATAGCACAATCTACCACCAGACAGATAGGGACACACACAGGTGTCACAAGAATGATGGCAACTGTACATGATGGCAACCTAGAGTGGTAGTACAATACCACAGTCCACCACAGTTACCTCCGTAATGTTACCGTGACTGGTTGCTGCCCTTAGCACATCCAGACCACTTGCCACCTCACCGAAGACACGTGAACACCATTGGCCCTCCGGGAGGTCCCGGGTGAGGATGTAGAACTGGGCACTCCGGTGGTCCTCGGGTCCCCACCAAGACCCCACAGCTCCTGCCCTGCTCGACCTCCTGTACTCCCCACCCAGGTCAGGCAGCAATGATGTGCCTCCCTCACCATCATTAGTTTCATAGTCCCCTCCCACCATGCACTCCCCTGGCTGATCCTTGTCCTCTACCTCAAAGAATTTAGTGTTTGTGTAAGTGGGGCCTTGTAGGCCCATGCACAATAACACAAACTGTCTGGCTAGCCCAGTGTCTGGGGTCAACCAGATGGCGACCCGGCCTTTTGTTGACCCAGCCCATGCCAGATCAAGGAATGCCATGGTGGAAGAGTAGTCCAGTATGTTCACAATATCACTGTGCTGTAAAAAAAAAAAAATATTACATTTTTATAATTGCAAATAGTTTGTTACATGTCAGTTATTACAAAATACACAGTATAGTAATTAATAATTGCAGTGCAACTGGAAAGCATGATAAAGGAACCTGGATCGAGCGAGCATGAATGGGCAAGGCCTGACGCAGAAGTGGGTGGAGGAACAGCTCTCCATCTTGTAAAGTAATCTTGGAAAAGTGGCAGCCATCTTGCTTTTGCTCCACAGCCACCACCTGGCCAGCCACCACCAGTCTCTTGACCGGCTCACTCATTCTGCGAAGATGTTCAATCTGCGGAGAATATCGGCTCCATTGTTACCCATGGACAACAAGAGGTCTGGACAATATGGACAGTGTCTGAACCACTTGAAACTGGACAAAGCAGTCCCCATTATAGCCTATGTGCAGTATCAACCCCATTATCACTAGTGGGCATTATCACTGTCATAATTTTGGATCAGTGTTGCAAATGAATATCTGCCATTAAGAAAAAAAAAAAAAAAGAGCAGTTTACAAGTGTGAAATTGGGTTTTCCCACTCTGAGAAGGTTACATCCAAAGAGAGAGCGACTCAACAGTGCAGTCGATGTGTATAACAAAACCACGCGAACCAGACTGGATCAAAATAACCAGCAACAGGCAGGCTCACCAGTCACACTGAAGAAGTAAATGTTTCATTTATTAGTTATAATTTCATTATTAAGTATACAAAAAATCTCTTTAAATTGATACTTTAAGTTTTGCCTAACATGTCAAGAGTTTTAACCCCTCAACTGTGCCGGCCAACAAATGTCGTTTTGAGAGTTGTCCGTTTTTTTATTAGGCTATATTTTAATGTTTTTTTTTAATGTTTTCATTAATCTTTGTGTTTTCAAATGAAAATACAGTAATTTAGTTTGGAAACATTTTGACATTAACTTTACCTGAACATTTATAAAAACAACAAAAATATGTCTTTAACAATTGCACTTTGAAGTTTTTGCCAAACACAGGTGCGCAATGCAGGGGTTAAACTAGCTTACATGTTATCTTGCTTTACATTACTTGTTGGATATTTTCAGACTTAAGAACAGAAATATGGCCATGAGGGTATGTAATATTATCGCATTGGGTCTTGGGGAGGAGGAGGAGGGAGAGGGATGTGAAGACCACTGCTCCAGGCTAACCCTAATCAAACCCTATCTCAACAAAAGAGACAAGGATAGGCTAGAGAGGCTCGCCCATCTGGAACCGACAGATTGAAAAATGTATCCACAAAAACACTGCCAAGGTGTAGCTCAAGGGTACAATAAAAATAGTGCTTACATACAAGGGTGAGGAAGCAGCCGGATACATCATGTATATCTGGCAGGGTTCTGTAGCACAGCGGTTTACATTCGACTTGCAAGCGAGGATCCCGGGTTCGATCCCTGGGTGGGACACAAATTGTTGGGTACATTTCCTTTAACCCGACGCCTCTGTTGACCTAGCGGTAAATAGGTACTCGGGAGTTAGGCAACTGTTGACAAACCTAAGTACGTACAGGCTTCCCGTCTCCGACAACAAGAATAATCCCGCACTCTCTGGAACAAAAGAGATAAAAATTTATGAACGTTCTATAGCGGCCAACCTACAAGGTAAAAAAACACTAAGGAGAACCAGACAACTAATGAACCGATGCTCAGCCCAAATATCTGCGTCTTTTCACGTAGTGGGAAACTCATGAGAATCATAACAGCCGAAGTACAAACTGGCTATATACAGAGAGCATAACTCTGGTGACTGGCAATCCAGGCACATGAAAGGTTTCTTTACACTCATCCTTACACTTCTTTACACAGAACAGAGCATCAGATCTAGTGACAAGACCCCCAAGGATACCAGCAGAGAGCAGTCACCAGACTCTTAAGAGTCTAGATGATAAACAGAGACATCTCATAAATACCAACACCAAAAAAGAAACCTCATGAAAAAGATTACCTGTTGAGAATTTCAAGAGTTCTTATACTTCTGTAACCTTCCCCAGCAATTGTGTGGTATGCGAGGATGGTTCCTCTCCCACAGCCCAAAGGCCCAAATAGGCAAGGTGATCCAATAACTCCATCAGAAATGTGTCCAATTCTGTGCAGGCGATGAGTCACAATAACGTGACTGAAGTATGTTGACCAGACCACACACTAGAAGGGAAAGGGATGACGACGTTTCGGTCTGTCTTGGACCATTCTCAAGTCGATTCTCACAATTGACTTGAGAATGGTCCAGGACGGACCGAAACGTCGTCGTCCCTTCACCTTCTAGCGTGTGTCCAATTCTACTTGATAGTTTCCACCATTGTTCCAGCAACATTTATTTGTTGGCACGAGATGGAAGAGCTGCGAGCCTCTGATGTTTAGAATGTATTTTCCAGTTATGCTTATGGCATCTGGACTCCTCATTGGATCTCCTTTGCACTTCCTACCACATCTTGCACTTGAGTATGCTGTATTTGTGTTGTGTAGATTTCAAACCTGTCTCTCCAATATTTTCCATGTTCATATTAATTGACATCTCTCTCTCTCCTCTTCATTCCAGGAATTACAGTTTGAGTGCTTAGTCAGTCCCTATGTAATGAAGCTATGTGTATTAGTGACTTTATAACATTACATTATGTGCTTACGAATACTCCAACTTATTATTTTGTAATTGTCTGCGTTGGCAAATGACTGCAATCTTTTGAGACATTCAGTGTATGTAGGAGAGAAGTAGAGACATATCATAAATGTAAAAGCAGAAGGAACAGAGAACTTAAATTAATCAGGCACATGGTTTTGATATATAGTCAAGAGGCACCCAGTGAGACAGTAAAGCTGATGCAAAGTATCTGGAAATAATTATGTAGAATTTTGTTATGTACAGTACATGCTTACCATGTGCAATGAGGGGTAAGCATGTAAAACTTTGTTGGGGATGGAGGGAAAGGGGGGGCTTGCAGACAGCAAAATGACAATCAGGGATCCCAAGTTTGATTCCCAGGCAAGACAGAAATGGTTGGGCACATTTCTTTTCACCTCATGTCTCTACTCACCTAGCAGTAAATAGGTACCAGGACTTAAGCAACTGTTGTGGGTTGTATCCTGGGAGAAGGTTAGTAGTCTGACCTACAGGGGGGGAATGGGACCCTCAATACAAGTCTAAAGTATGTAGGTATATACAGTATATACCGATACATATAGATATTACAGGAACTGTGGTAGTGTATAGCGGTGCTCTGGATATTTTCACCGATAAGACACTAATCGGTGTACAATGGTGCTCGGGAATGTACTCTAGTGCTCAAAAGAATTTTCACTGGTTGCAAGTACATCGATGGATTTTATTCCCGCTTATCTGAAATATGTATATTATATGTAACGATGCTTAGGAAATCGGCACTAGTGGAGGCACTCACTGTGAGCAGTGTAAAACAGCGCTGGGGAAATTTGTAATGGTGAAATACTATGGACATACATGGGTTACATTCCTGTTTACCTTGTGACTTTGTGGGTTGAAAATAATGGTAGAACTATTATTTAGCTGTAAATTTTTCAACAGTGAAATTTTTTTACAGAAAGGAGTATCATTACTGTATAATGCAACTGCTATCATAATTCTAGCAGCAAAAAAAGCAAAAATCTAGACAATACACATGCTGCATAAGTTATCCTATCGAGCTGTATTACAGGGAATACCAAATTTAAAAAGAAATGCAAACTTACAGTTATTTCCTCAAGAGGAACTCCACGAGTTATGTCCCAAACTTTCTCCATGATGTTGGTGGCCGAGTCTCTCGGGTGGACAAGCAGAGTTGCGGCACCTGCTTCTGGGGTTATTATCTCCTGGGCCTCCCTGATGGTCTCCTGCACCTGTCATTACCAGCACAAGTATTTAGAGAGTAATCACACAAATGTGATGAATCAACGAGAAAATCTGTAGCAGCCGTGATGAGGATTCGAACCCATGCAGTGGGTGGTGGGATTGTCTGGGGCATTATCTTGAGATGATTTCAGGGCTTAGCATCCCCACGGCCCGGTCCTCAACCAGGCCTCACACCCCCAGAAAGCAGCCCGTAGCAGCTGTCTAACCCCCAGGTACCTATTTACTGCTAGGTAACAAGGGCATCAGGGTGAAAGAAACTCTGCCCATTTGTTTCTGCCTCCACCGGGGATCAAACCCGGAACCTCAGGACTAGGAATCCGAAGCACTGTCCACTCAGCTGTCAGGCGTGGGACTACCCACCGCATAGGATCAGAAATACTACAGGAACAACCGTGGACATTTTCAAGAGGAAACTAGATTGTTTCCTTCAATGAGTGCCGGACCAACCGGGCTGTGGTGGGTATGTGGGCCTGCGGGCCGCTCCAAGCAACAGCCTGGTGGACCAAACTCTCACAAGTAAAGTCTGGCCTCGGGCTGGGCTTGGGGAGTAGAACTACTCCCAGAACCTCCTCAACCAGGTATCAACCAGGTATAGGTTCAAATCCCCATCACGGCTTGTACGGATTTTCTCAACAAGAATATTAATTATGCAGGTCAAGTCTACAGAGTAAACGGGGACAGCCATGGTACCATCTGTGTAGTCATCACCTCCAGCGGCCTCCTTCACCAATTGTCTCCTGCTGCTGTCACTATCAACACAAGAATAATGGAGACAGTTTTTCCGGTGAGATAAGGGTTACAGAGAACAATGTTTTTAATCGATAAACTTTTTTGGAATACTTTGCATTAAAATGTAAAATATACATGCAAGAAAATGCATACACAGTTTTGAAAGCAGAGAATATAATGTATTAAAAACAAGAGAGTTTAGCTGAAATCATTTAAAAAATAAAATTTTGTTACTATTTTATTTATTACAAATAACAATACTTATATTAGTTTTTCTGAAGATAACTTTGCTATAATTGCTATCTTCCCAAAATGCTATGCATGTTAGTAGCTTTGCTAGAATGTAAGAACACCAGTGTTACGTACTCTCACAACCCAACGTATGGTCTCGTTAGTAAATAAATAAATAAGTCAATAAAATGTACTATGATGATGCTTCAGGCCTTGACTTAAGAGACCAATAGACAACTATTTGGTTCTGTAACTTGGTGGATCACATCTTTTTTTGCTCACAACCATGGAACCTGGGTTCAGTCCCAGAGAAAACTTTTGGGCACATTTCCTTTCACCTGATGCCTCTGTTCAACTAGCAGCAAAATAGGTACCTGGTTACCTGGAAGCTAATCAATTGTTGTGGGTTGCATCCTGGGGAAGCTCAGTATTTGGCCCAAGGGGATCTCGATGAGACTTGAGTAGAGGCTTCCTATTCCCCGTCAACAGGAAATGTATTCATAATTAGGCGAATGAAACAAAAATCACATATACAACATGCAGCTTTGTGAAACATATGCAAAATTATGACTTAAAAAAACCTTAATTCAAAACTTTTAAACTTTTTGAACTTTAAGCAAATGTGGCCTTTAACAGCATACCTTTACTGAAGTGTGAAGTGCGTTGAAATCTGGGAAGATGTCCTGGCATTCGTGGAGCCATTCTTTTACCTCTACATGGCACTGATCAGCTCTGTCTGCGATTGTGTCAACCTCGTGTGCAGTGTAGACTTTTTCCAGGTTCCCCAACATAACCTGGAGCCGCTTTTTCCCGTCCTCTCCTTTTGCCGTCATATCAACTACACTGGTGTCTTCTTGTTCCAAGAGTTCAATTGTAGTTTTATTCTGTTCTACCAGACCATCGAGTTTATCTTGGAGTTGGTGATGGCGAGTCTTTCGGTCTCTCAGCTGTCCCCGATATTCACCCAGCTGGCACAGAGTGTCTTCACAGCTGGTAATGAGGCTGCTGATGTTGCTCTTTTGCTCCTGCACTAAGGAGCGTAACTTCTTGCCGATGCCTATTGGAGGGTCTTGACTACGTTTTGCCGACACAGTTCCAACTGAAGCGAGTTTCCTAACAAAGGCCTCCATACCATAATTGATTGGAAACTGAGTAGCAGTTGTAGCAATGTGTTCAGCACGACAGCTGGGGCATGCAACCTGACCATTCTTGATAGCCCGTTCAATGCACTGAGAGCAAAACGCATGACCACAAGGCAATGAGCGTGGCCTGAGCAGAATTTCATCATAAGTGCCAAAACAGATTGTACATTCTTCTGGCTTGCTGTTATCCTGCTGAAGAATGTGTCATGTTAGACTGGATATACAGTATAAAAAAAAATTTAATAGCACTACTTGACAAAGTTTTCTTACTACAGGTATAAAATACTTATTAAAAACAATATGGATTTTAGCCCCATATAGACCAGAAAAGTACGATGCCAACAAGGGTACCGGTAATACAGTTGGATTCGTTCTTTACTCTCAATCAAGAGCACATGTTGACCAGACCACACACTAAAAGGTGAAGGGATGACGACGTTTCGGTCCGTCCTGGACCATTCTCAAGTCGATTGAGCACGTTTCCTATCACCTAATGACCCAGTTCACCTAGTAGAAAATAGGTAACCATAAGTCTGCTTATTGTGGGGTTGCATCCTGGCGAGGGTCAATAATTCGACTCTGTTGGGACCTCGATACAAGCCTAACACATACAGTACAGTACTCTTCAAAATTATGCACCTCCCCATACTTATGGCAAAAATAGAATGATGATCTTGTGGGTGAAAGATTGAAGACAGAAGTAGGTGCTGGGTACACAGTAGAGTGAGAAACAGAGTTAGAGACAGACACAGAGAGACAGACAGACAGACAGTAGATGGTTGGATAAATTGATATATAGCAAGGTAGATGGATAGACAGATAGATGGGAAAGACCCGGGCAATAGTACAGTCTCTCCAGTTTCTTATATTTAATAGGAGGAGGAAGAGACAGACCTCAGATGCTTACAATGTTCGCCGATTGTTCCTATGGAACCTCTACTCTTCACTGGCTCTATTTTGCATATCCTATCATATCTTTGGCTCCATTTTGTTACTCATATTTGGGGCTTGACCTTCCAATATCTGCCATGAAGTGAGTAAAACAATTATCCTTACCATCATCAACAAGGCTGGAGTGTCGTTTATGCTCATCTTTGGAGGTCAAGCAGACACTGGAAGCAATGTTGCCTGCAAGGGAATTACTTGAATTAATACTATACTGTACTGTAATTAATTTTTAAGTGTAGTCAAATCAAATATACTGTACATGCATTTTGTTTTTATAAAAGAATTTGTTCGGCTCAACCTAAATTTTCGTGCAGTCAATATTATTATAAGTCCAAATTTTGGGGTATGCATAAAATGTCAAACATATTAAAAAGAAAAAATTAACAAAATGGATTCTGATCATATGGCACATTTATCTATCACCAGTTTAATAATAATTAAATACAACAATGAGGGTGTAGGAATGCAATAAATTTGATGATACACCTTAAAAATACAAATACCCATATATAATTATGGAATAACTGCATTCTCGGTAAAATCTTATATACTGTGTGTGTTATTTATTATATATATATAATACAGTATATATATATGCATACAAGCCTGAATGGTCCCCAGGCATACATGCAACTGAAAACTCACACCCCAGAAGTGACTCGAACCCATACTGCCAGGAGCGCTATGCAACTGGTGTACAGGGCACCTTATCCACTCAACCATCACGACCGAACAAAAACTGATGGTAGCTGATGGGGAAATAGCCTCGGCTACCATCAGCTTTTTTCTGGTCGTGATGGTTGAGTGGATAAGGTGCCCTGTACACCGGTTGCATAGCGCCCCTGGCAGTATGGGTTCGAGTCACTTCTGGGGTGTGAGTTTTCAGTTGCATGTATGCCTGGGGATCATTCAGGCTTGTTCGCATTAGTGTTCCTCACGTGTGCCCCAAAGAATGAGGTGATTTGACAAAATACTATGCCCAAGATTACCATCAGAGTGCCGGAGGGCTGATGGGGAAATAGCCTTGGATACCATCAGCTTTTGTCCGGTTGTGATAATTGAGTGGATAAGGTGCCCTGTACACCACTTGCATAGTGCTCCTGGCAGTATGGGTTCGAGTCACTTCTGGGGTGTGAGTTTTCAATTATATATTATATATATATTATATATATACAGTATATATATATATATATATGCAATTGACGATCACAAAACACTGATCATTTTATGCGGAAAATCCACAGAGAAATATGAAATGAGGTGAACGTTTCGGCTTTGTTAAAGCCTTTGTCAAACACCAGACTGAGTCAGTCTGGTGTTTGACAAAGGCTTTAACAAAGCCGAAACGTTCACCTCATTTCATGTTTCTCTGTGGATTTTCCGCATATATATTATATATATTATATATATATATATATATATATATATATATATATATATCCCTGTGGGCTCCACAGGGAACGGACGCTGGGAGGAGGCTCTGCCGGCCATGTGCCATTATCTTGTGACATCCTGACCTCACCGGGCCCAGACTCAACAGTGTGCAGTGTGAACATCCTGGGAAGGTGTGAGAGTGGCGGGAAGTGTCCAGGGGGAACTATCGCAAGCAAAAACAATCAAACAAGTGGATTGGCAGTGTGGAATCGTTTGAACTGCAGTGAGGGCCAACAAGGGCGCCTTGAGGGGCTCCCTCGGTTATGGTGGTTGGGGTGGGGGGTGGGGGGTGGTGGGGATGGGGTGTTGTTGTGCGGTCAGTCGAGGGGGGTGACCAGTGTGTAAGTGTTTATGAAAATATCAATGAAAAATAGATACCTCGGCTCTCGGGAAACTGGTATCGTGTTTTAAGTGCATCGAGTCCACAGTGAACCAGTTTATATTGTGCAGTGATATATCACGAGATTATACAAACATGTTAGTGTCACCCCTCTGACCCACCCCCTCCCCATACCCGCCAGTGTGTACCGTCACCCAACCCAAGAGTCACCCTCTTCCCCCTGCCCCACCCCCAACCGCGACCGCTACCTCCCTGTGTCCACCCCCTCACGCTACTTCCGCCCAGCGCCCACGCAGCGCCCGCCCAGAGCCCGCCCAGCGCCCGCCCAGCGCCCACCCAGCGCCCGCCCAGCGCCCACCCAGCGCCCGCTGATGTCGCAGGTCACGACTGACAGCCAGGCTTCTCTCAGCCAAGAGGAGCCATCAATCGACGACAGGTATGGCACATGCCAAGTGTGTGACAAGGTGTGGAGACTCAAGCGTAACGGAGATGTGCGCAAGCATGCTCACAACGGAACCGATTGTCCGGGTATGTGGCGCCCTCCCAAAGAGGGTATCAATCAAGGCCCCACTCCAGCAGTCAGGGAAAACACCTCTAACAGCTTCATTTCGACTGAGAATCTACTAGAAGCCATCAAAGCAACATCGGTTGGAACCCTGCAGCACATCCCCAAAGCTGCCCGGCCCCAGGCAGCAGCCAAACTATCCAGCCTCTTGAAAAAGGTCAATGACTCCCCCGGAACTATCCAAGCATGGCACAACCTTCTCCTGTTTGGAAACATATGCCTAGCTGTCCCTGCAAGGAGAGACAAATCACTAGCTTCCTCTGTCATTATGGCTATAAATAGTTTTCCTAGAGAGGACAACCAGGCACCCCTCCCCACCCGTGCCAAAAACACCCACCGCAGGAAAGGTATCAACAGCAGAACCGAGGCATCCAAAATCAGAGCAACAGTCAGCAAGAAAATAGAAGAAGGCAACACAATAGGGGCGATCAGAGTCATCACCAGTGAAGACACAGTTGCCACCAGGGATGCCGATACAGCACAAGCCCTGAGGGAAAAACACCCACCCAGAGCTCCTCGTGACGACAGTGTCCCCCTAGTCGGTGTCACCAGAGCAGAACCCCTGTGTGTGCTCGAATCCATGGTGCACAAAGCAGCTTTATCCTTCCCACCAGGATCAGCAGGTGGGTTCACAGGACTACGACCCAACCACATCAAACAAATGCTCAACCCTGCACTGGGAGACATTGCACAGGGCCTCCTGGTGGAACTAACTAGATTCGCCAACACATGTCTAGCTGGCAACATACCAGAGACCATACGGCCTCTCTTTTTTGGCGCTACCCTCTGTGCCCTGAGGAAAAAAGATGGAGGAATCAGACCGATAGCTGTCGGCAATTCACTCCGGCGTCTCGTCGCTAAGGCTGCAGCTAGAGCAGTTAGTCAGGCAGCAGCCGACATGCTGAAGCCAAAACAGCTTGGGTTTGGCATTCCCCAAGGGTGTGAGGCAGCGGCTCATGCAGCTAGAGCCTACATTGCCAACATTACGAATGAAAAAGCCCTGATAAAGTCGGACTTCAAAAATGCTTTCAATCTGGTTAGAAGGGATGCAGTACTCAGTGCAGTTCATCGCCTTTTTCCTTCCCTCTACCCGTTTGTAAACTCATGCTACAGCAAGAATCTAACTCTGCTTTTTGGGGAACATGAAATTGAATCACAAGAAGGTGTCCAACAAGGTGACCCCCTTGCTCCTTTTCTGTTCTGCCTAGTTATCAAGGAAGTCACCGATAACCTGTCCAGTGAGCTCAACATTTGGTTTTTGGATGATGGTACTCTAGCCGGCTCCCCAGCCTCACTCTTGGACGACATAAGAATAATCCAGGAGCAAGGAGCAAGCCTAGGCCTCACCCTGAACCCTTCCAAGTGCGAAATAACCTCCACCAACCAGCACATAATAGAGCAAATAAAGGTTGTTTTGCCTGACATTCATACAACCAACCCTGAGGACAGCACACTCCTAGGTGCTCCTCTTGGAAGGAATGCCATCGACGGGGTCCTTGGTAAGAAGATCACTGACCTGAAGAGGATGAACGAGAGGATTGAAGACATCGATGCTCATGATGCACTTTACCTCATCACCAGATGCTTGTCCCTTCCCAGGCTGACCTACTTTCTAAGATGTTCGCCATCTTTCAACAATATTAAATTAGAAGAGTATGACAGCTTGCTGAAATCAACACTAGAAAAAGCCCTCAATCTTTCCCTCAGCGACTCACAGTGGAAACAGGCCTCCCTTCCTGTCAGACTCGGGGGCCTTGGCGTGCGCACAGCAACACAAATTGCTGTACCAGCATTCCTGTCCTCTTCAGTGGGGTCTGACAACCTGGTGAAGGAAATCCTACCTGAGCACCTAGTTCAACAGGCTGGGGTACATGATCCCAGCTTCACAGACTGCACAACCAAATGGGTCTCTCTCGCAGGACCAGCACCCCAACCACCGCCTTCTGAAGCCCATAAGCAATCCTGCTGGGATCGCCCCATTGCCGACCAAGAAGCTGCAACTTTGCTAGAAGCTGCGACGACACCACATGACACTGCCCGACTTAGAGCTGTAGCAGCTCCCCATGCAGGTGATTTCCTATTAGCAACCCCAATGTCAGCAACCGGCACCCGTCTCACACCGCAGGCCCTCCGAATTGCCGTGGCTCTCCGCCTAGCTGCCCCAATCCACACCAAATACAGGTGTATTTGCGGCGAGGCAGAGGCCGACAAATACGGACGGCATGGCCTTCTTTGCCAAAGGACGGGAGGATGGCATGCAAGACACGGCGAGGTTAATGACATTATTAAGAGGAGCCTTACCACAGCCGGTTGTCCAGCAGAGAGAGAGCCCCGTTACCTAATGTCCCGCAACTCTGATGAGCCTGTCGGTCGCCCAGACGGAATTACGGTGAACCCCTGGAAGAATGGTAGACAGTTGGTGTGGGACTACACTTGCGTTTCAACTTTGGCCAGTACCTATGTTGACTTCAGTGCTACACAAGCAGGAGGAGCTGCCAATCACCGGGAAGCGGCCAAGTCACGTAAATACAGAGACCTTGAGCACCACTACAATTTTGTCCCCATTGCCTCAGAGACACTTGGTGCCTGGGGTAAAAGTGCTGCTAGCTTTTTAAAGGAGTTGGGGTCTAAGCTAATCGAAACAACTAGAGACCCCAGAGCTGCCAGTTTTCTTTTTCAGCGCCTTAGTGTGGCAATCCAGAGAGGAAATGCTCACTGCATCCATGGTTCCTGCCCGCCATCCGAGGAGCTGGAGGAGCTATTCAACTTGTGACAAGCAGCCTTGTACCCTGTATGTAATCAATATTGTAACTTTTTTTGTGTAATGACATTTTCAAATAAAGTTAGATAAATATACACACTTAACAAAAGAATAGGGGTGGTAGGAGAAGAAAATATCAAAGTGTTCAGTGAGGATCCACAAGGTCTTCTCTGAGTACTCTTTATTTTCTTCTCCGAGGCTATGGGTCCCTACATTTGCACCAGAGGTGGTACCCCTTCTAGGTTTTAAAAAAAAAAAAAAAAAAAAAAAAAAAAAAAATATATATATATATATATATATTATATATATATATATATATATATATTATATATATATATATATATATACACACACACACATATACACAGTGGTACCTCGGTTTAAGAGTTTAATCCATTCCTGGAGACAGCTCGTATTCCAAAAACTCATGGGGAAATTAGCTTCGGATTATAAGAAATAATAGGAAATGAATTAATTCGTTCCTGACTACCCAAAAACCTCACTTCAAACTAAATTTTATACCTAATTCATCTAAATAAACCTACAAAACTATGTTCAAGTTATTACTTACCCTTGCTGATGACTGCTGTTGGCGTATGGAAGATGGTGAGGAAGGGGGAGGAAGAGAGGTGTTACTGTTTGGAAGGGGAGTCCCCTTACATTATAACATCAGGCAGTGAGGACTTCACTGGTGTGCACTCTCTGGCACATTTTGCCTGTATACCACTAGGACTTGTTTGTCTTACTAAGAATTTGTCTAAAGACACTTGTTTTTCCCTACATTTTAACACTTGTCTGTAGTAAGACATCACATTGTCATTTAAATGGTCAATGCAACGGCCTGCTACAGCTTTATCTAGGTAAGTTGTTTCAACAAAACTTTGCAGTTCTTCCCATACTTCACACATTTTCTTAATGAAGAAGGGACAGCTTCTACTGCCTCTACTCACTATTTTCTTAGGATGAACCTTACTTGGGACTTTCTTGGGACCCACGGCGAGATAACAACAACAACTTTTATGCTCAAATGGCAAAAAAAATGACAAAAAACTGTAAATCCTTGTGAAGAATTCAGGCGGGATAGTCACTGGGCACAAGGCACTGGTAAACTGAGGCGCGATCGCTGTACCACTACGTGCTAGTCGGCCTGTACGCGTATCAACACCCTCGTCTTCCGAGGTACCACTGTATATGTGTGATTATATATATATATATATATATATATATACATTCATTTATATTTATATATATTATATATATATATATATATATATATATGTCGTACCTAGTAGCCAGAACGCACTTCTCAGCCTACTATGCAAGGCCCAATTTGCCTAATAAGCCAAGTTTTCATGAATTAATTGTTTTTCGACTACCTAACCTACCTAACCTAGCCTAACCTAACTTTTTAGGCTACCTAACCTAACCTAACCTATAAAGATAGGTTAGGTAGGGTTGGTTAGGTTCGGTCATATATCTACGTTAATTTTAACTCCAATAAAAAAAAAATTGACCTAATACATAATGAAATGGGTAGCTTTATCATTTCATAAGAAAAAAATTAAGAGAAAATATATTAATTCAGGAAAACTTGGCTTATTAGGCAAATCAGGCCTTGCATAGTAGGCCGAGAAGTGCGTTCTGGCTACTAGGTACGACATAAAAAAATATATATATATATATATATATATATTTTTTTTTTATTTTGTAAATGTCAAGAGTCTTTGGGGAGAGCCACGAGGCAATCCACTTACAACAGTTTCCCACCCCTGACCTAACTCCATTTATACTAACTTTTTGTTTCCCTAGGGCATGGTTATATCAAATCCAGCCAAGATAGCACCCCTAATGCCATGAGTCTATCTTTTTAATCACTTTCAACTGGTACTGTATCAAAAGCTGTGCTAAAGGTAAACAATATCACAAACCTTTTCAATATCAACTGGTTGATACCTTTTTGATACCTGGTTGATGGGGTTCTGGGAGTTCTTCTACTCCCCAAGCTCAGCCCGAGGCCAGGCTTGACTTGTGAGAGAGTGGTCCACCAGGCTGTTGCTTGAAGCGGCCCGCAGGGCCACGTACCCACCACAGCCCGGCTGATCCGGAACTTCTCTTAGAAAACCGTCCAGTTTTCTCTTGAAGATGTCCACGGTTGTTCTGGCAATATTTCTTATAGTCGCTGGGAGGACGTTGAACAACCGCGGACCTCTGACAACTGCCTCAATAATTTTGGAACAGAATGAAAGCAAATATGTAAAAAATGAGCAGCCCTTGGTACAACCATGTTGTGAATCATTTATTGATTTGTTTTTGCTATAATTAATTCAAATAATTTTCCCACAATAATTTAGATTAGGTCAAGTATCCTTGGATACTTGCAACACCATACATTAAACAGTTTGCCAATGAATTTTAAAACCAACATGACCTGACACAACCTAACTTTCAAGTTTATTTTTTCACATCTTTCCCGAAATGTTGCGCATACTAGTAGCTTTAGGTATGGTATATATTTGCTGTATGTAGAAATACAACATTCTGCTTGTAACTCATTGTGTATGTATGTACTTTTCCCTAGATAAACGGTTTTGACAATCGAAAAGCGAGCGTTGTTTACCAATTTTTTTTATTTATATATATACAAGAGTTCTTAAATTCTTGTACAGCCATTAGCACGCATAGCATTTAGGGCAAGTTGACCAGACCACACACTAGAAGGTGAAGGGACGACGACGTTTCGGTCCGCCCTGGACCATTCTCAAGTCGATTTAGGGCAAGTCTTTAATCTTACGTTCCCTGGAATACGACCCCACCAAAATGTTTAACAACCAGGTACCCATTTTACTGGTTGGTAAACAGAGGCTATAGTTAAGGATTGATGCCCAATATATCTTCCCCGGCCAGGATACGAACTCAGGACAAAGCGCTCACAAAACGCCAGGCGAGCATCTTACCACTACACCAGATTGACCATAGCCCAGATGTACTTTCCAAGTACAGCTGGAAAGGATCAAGGTAAATGAAGGAGAGACCTTCGACAAGCCACCGGCTTTCTGTCCTCGTCGAGGCCACTAGTCTTAGTGGCTCTCAGGTAAACCCAGGCAAGGATCCGTGGACCCCAAATTACCACTTCAAGCAGGGATAGAGTCTACTTCCCACCCAATCAGCCTCAGGAGACACATTAACACCTAACAACTAGCTCTTTCTTACCTTGTAGTGTGTGAAGACCTGCGGTAATGTTGTGCCAGTTACGATACTCACAACATAAAATGGTTCAAATATAACTTAATTCTGAAGCAACAATAACAATGGTTTGTTTACCCTACGCATTGGCCGCTGTCCGAATGCTTCCCTTAACCTCAACTTCCTTCTCATATTTTCACATTTACAATTTTACAAGTCCAATCTCAGTTTTCCCTAGTACCCCCAATATTGCCAAGTTTCTTTTAACTCTATTTTGAGTTTAATTTTGTGTGATTAAAGTCAAGAAAAAGTTATTATGGTCCAGAGGCGATGTTGAATTGCTGTGCGTATTAGCGGCTTTAGACACTGTACTTGATAATGGTAAATAAATAAATAATAATAAATAAATGTTTATTTAGGTAAGGTACATACATACAAGAGATTTTCAAAATTTGTTCGATTTATAGATAGAGCTAGTCACACCAGCTTCACGCACAGAGAGATTACGGGAATTAAACCTCACGTCACTGGGAGACAAGAGTTAGAGGGGGACATGTTCACCACATACAAGATTTTCAGATGAATTGATAGGGTAGATAAAGACAGACTATTTACCACAGGGGGCACATGCACTAGGTGACACAGGTGAAAATTGAGTGCCCAAATGAGCCATAGAGACGTTAGAAAGAATTTTTTCAGTGTTAGAGTAGTAGACAAATGGAATGCATTAGGAAGTGATGTGGTGGAGGCTGACGTCATACACAGCTTTAAGTGTAGATATGATAGAGCCCTCATTGTGTATGTACAGGCTCAGGAACCTGTACACCAGCTGATTAACAATTGAGAGGCGGGACCAAAGAGCCAAAGCTCAACCTCCGCAAGTACAATTTGTTAAGTACAGCGTTTCGGGCATAAGCGGGTATTTACGTTACTTGAATCCTCCACTGTTCAAATATTTGTATGTATATACTATTGCCTAAATAATAATTTGTATTATTATTATTGTTATTATTATTAATAGCTGTGAACCAACGTTGGTTCTCCTGACAATAGGGCAATAATTTTGGCACTAAAGGTTGGCGCGTGAAATTTGAAAATTCAAATTAAAAAATTAAAATTCAATTTTTTTATTTAGGTAAAGGTACATACATAAATGATGAGTTACGAACATAATGTTGGATTTATAGATAGAGGTAGTACATACAATACCTAAAGCCACTAATACGCATAGCGTTTCGGGCAACGGTCTAGTTGTTCAACGTTGCTCAACATTCAAGTTCTCCCCACATCCCTAAAAACATCAGTCTGCTCAAGAAAACTTGACAAGCACAGGCAATAGACTGTAGAACTTGAGAGCCAGAGGAGAGGTGTACAATAAGCAGGTTGTACAAGAACATGTACAACCTGCTTATCGGAGGCGTGGCTGGCACCGTAGCCTCGTCACGAGGCACTGGGCATAACTGAAAAAAAATCGCCCAAAAAAATCTAAAATTTAAATATTTGTAAAAAAAAAAAACTATGGCAACAGTGGAAACCGTATACTTTTATGATGAAAATTAACGTAATTATGGGCAATTTTCCAACCTCCACATTATACATTTTAATAATTATACATTTTGCCCGAAACTGTATTAGTGGCTTTAGGCATAGTATATACTAGCTCTATCTACAAATCCAACATTGTTTTCATTTATTTTGATTGTATTTTTACCTGAATAAGCATTATGTTAAAAATAAATATATGTTGATTGACCACTGTATCGTGGGTGAGGCGTGTGGTAAGAGATAGAGATGACAGTTACATAGTGCGGACTGTAGTGTGTAGAGGTGTTGTAATACTCGCTCTTTTCCCTCCCTGGAGTATCACCTCTATTACTTCTACTGCACTATGCCTCCCAAGTCAAAGGCTTTTGAAATCAAGACCAGCAAATTGGGCACTCGCTCATCGTGCACAAGCAAGGGAAATGACAGCTTTACAGCAAACGAGAAGTGAGGCGAGGGAGGAATGGCGCAAAAACTGTACTCGCCTATGTGTGCTTGCGGGGGTTGAGCTCTGGCTCTCTGGTCCCGCCTCTCTACTGTCAATCAACTAATGTACAGGTTCCAAAGCCTACTGGGCTCTCATATCTACACTTGAAACTGTATGGAGTCAGCCTCCTCCACATCACTTCCAAATGCATTCCATTTGTCAAACCACACTGCCACTGTAGGCAGTGCAAAGTGTTGTAGCGAAGGAAGCGAGATGGTAAAATAACCCAGGTTCAGTTTGACGAGAAGATAGCGAAACATTTACCAAAGTGCGATAAAAATTACAATTAGTGGCAAAAATATGGAAGCGGATGCTGCAGTGTTGATGTGGAGTTGATCAGAAAACTTCAAACTCAGATATACGACCTTTGTAGGTGATGGTGACTTCTGTGTACAATAACCAATGGTGCTGGACCATATTAACAAGGTGGAAAAGGCAGTGTATAAATCACTACAGCGAGAAACTTAACACGGCTACACAACTTCCAGAAATCAGCTGTCGAAGTGAAGGAATCAAAAAGGGAAGAGCAGACGAATGTCACTGGTAAAACTGTTTGACCAGTGACACTGGCAGTACCCTGCCATTGTGAAGATGGCAGGATACTGCACCAAAACAATCACGGAAAATATCAACACTGGCGGGAAGAAAAAAAATAGGAATGCCGGACTGTATATCGTGTAACGTCCACTGATGAGAAGCCAGTGTACAAGCACAGTTCTAAAGGAAAAGATTTGGCGTTTCTACAAACAAGACTTAACAGATGGAAAAGCCCCCCTTGATCACAACAAAATTTTGTACAATTCCAGCTACCGAGCAATCACATACAAATCTGGAAGATACGATAATCTTGTATCTTAGAATAACAAGAAGTGTCTGATGGGGAAAGACTCAGAAGCCAAACTAGTCTACACCAGCGAGTTTGGAAACTCGCCCCCAAGCAGATTTGTTGGTCGCCTCCATGATTGACTTCAGCATCGCAACAACAGCGATCAACTACAACGTCGGGTATTCGAAGGGCCCCCTGGCCACCATCCTTGTCTACCTTCGATTTGTACTCACTAGATTTATGTGCCCCTTGAGGAACTAAGAGGAGGGGTAGAAATAGCTTAAGCCACTATCCCTTTGAGACATTTTATTGTCTCAATGAACGTACTTTAACCGTCTACGTCCGAATGGTACCTTAACAGGAAGAATGAACATGCAACAACCTACCAGACGCACCACCAAGTCGAGACAGGTACCCGAGGAAGCAGATAGTTATGAGGCTGCATGGCGTCTTAAGTGTCATTGCAGTGCCACCTTGAGGACCCACATTTCGGACCAATTATATTGGGTTATTTGGGACCAATTATATATATTGGGACCAATTATATTGGGTTAATTATATTGGGACCAATTATATTGGGTTAATTATAATGGGTTAGTATGTTCTAGTGTATTTTATGTTTTTTTTTTGTCATTTAGGCGATTTGCACTGAGCAAATCTCCGTGCAATTATTAAACATTTTACATATTTAACCAGTGCCTAAATATGTACAATATACCATTATAAAATTTGTATTTGATAAAATTTTCAGTTTTGAATGGACATGTTAAAATTGACGAGGCTCTCTGGGGTCGATCGCCGGATGGAATCTACTTGGTCCGAGGACGGGTTGCATATTACAAGGTCTATTAAAAGAGGCTCTTTATTAACCATTTATTGTGAACATTCACAATTAAATTTAGACATTTCACACTTCATTTTTTATTAAAAACCATTTTACACCATTACATTTACGGAAAATGGTATCACTCATAAAAAGTCTAGTTCCGATTGATCTAAACAATAAAACTATGCAATGTAGACATTTTTTCGCAAGCAAAAATTAGTCAATTGAATGTGTGATGAACAGGATTGGTTGCCCGGGGTCATGAAGGAATACTATCAGGCGTCATAAGAACTCCATTACACAAACACCAGAATAGACTAATTTGCGTTATCTGATCTGATATTATATAAAAAAAGACAAGATTAAGTTACAGGGATATGCATGACTAAACAAAACCAAGATCTGCTGTTGATATATAACGTTAGTACTATAGATCAAAATTAAAAATTTAGAAGAAATCGTGAAAGTCGTGAAGGAGGAAGTGTTTTTCACTTTCCGTCAGAGGCTCAAAGGATTTTACACTTCTGGGATGTCCACGGATCTCCTCCAGTAGCTTAGTTATGCCAACCATCTGCCGCTCCCTCGCCCTGAACTCTGCATACCTGTAAGAAAAGCATCCATAAATTAGTATAATTTATCCTCAGTGTTAACACCGAGTCAATCATTTACATGTTAACCTAGGCAACATGAAACTCCGCCCGAAACGCTGTGCGTACTAGTGGCTTTAGATATACAATGTACTAGCTCTATCTTTAAGTTACAAACAATGTTGGATTTATCTTCAATGTACCTTTACACGAATAAAAAATCTAATCCAAATTAAACAGCACATTTGAGTTACCAAGTACGTGTATAAACTTGAGAGCTCAAGTCGCCATGATTAAATGGGAGATTAACAGATTTTGTAAATGGGCACTTGAAGGTCCTAAGATATTATAGCATCAAACGACTAACTTCTGCGCATGGGGCGAGTGTAGGTTTCACCTAAGAACTTTAATATATTTAAAGTCTATGAAAGATTATAGGCCACCAAACTGAAGACAATTATACTCTTTTTTGTAAAAAGAGACGCAAAATTGGTTTAAATTGTATAGTACCAAATTCTACTTTCCAATTGTCTACGTTACTATATGCATGTACGATCTTCCTCACCGTTACAATAATTAAACAGGAGGATGGGCTGGTTATATTAGTTTCTTAATAACTTAATTGGCCGTTTATAAATGTTAAAGCATGTAACTGGATTATCAAGGCTAATTTTCTAAGCAAAACCATGGCTCAGAAAATTACCAATGTGCTTTTGACCTTTTCCATTACCACTCACAGGGCGAATTTGAGGGTACACCATGGACAAGAAATTGTTATAGTTTAAATAAATTTTAGACCAGATCAAGAGAATTTTTAAAAAGATTAATAAAGTATCTGCAAATTCCTAGTTGACAAATTTTTGCTTCCAAGCACAAATTTATATATATTTAGAAATAAAAGGAGTAATATACTCAGTGTATCTGGTATAAAGTACTTTATCGAGTACATACTCCGTTTTCAACATACAAATTCGGGTAAACAAAAAAAAAAAAAAAATAGTTCTTTAGTCAAGATACGGAAAAAATTTAGAAAGACTCACCCCTGGCGAGGCATCATTGTTCTCACGAAATAGGTGACAATGAAGATTATCATCATCAGCGAAAGTGTAACGGCACCTCCTATGGCCCAGATAGATTGCACGAGGCTTGCATCAGCGTGTTCAACGTTGCTGCTCCACGTCGTAATATTACTTTGAATTAGGTCGTTTTGGGCCAAAAATTCTTGCTCGAGAATTAGGAAACTACTGTTATTGGCGGCCGTCATCTTTACTCTGGGATGTGTCGAATATGTATTAACCCTCTTGTCAAACTTTGACAGCAAACGTACGCTGATCAGCGTCTTTTTATCACCGGCCTTTGAGAAAGTCCTCTCTAATCCACTCCCAAAATATAATCTTGACACTTTCCAGACAAACTAAATGGCCTTGAAAAGCAGTATCAGTCACCTAACCAGTTACGCAGAACTCACTGTACTAAGTGATCAGGAGTAGTCAAGTCTTCAAATAAACAGAACCTCGTGAAGATTATTTGCTTGAATCTTTGGATCGCATTAAACTGCTCAACAAAGGTTGTGTTCAAAATGCAATTTGGTAATGCCAACGGCTGGCCAGATTGTTCGGTTTATTTTGAATAAATTAAAAATTGCCTAATCGGTCAGCAGTTCATTTGATATGGATGAGGAACTTTTACTATTGAGAGTAAGCAATATAATGTTTCAGGTCAAAGATATTCTTTGGAATAATAACAAGATGCAAACCAATAGCCATTAATGTGCAACCCGTCCCTCACACTAGGCTGTTTAAAGCAGCGTCCGTCCTCCCCAGATGCAGTCATCAATCTTAACATATTGTGTATTAAAAATTGGTTTGTTCTCAAATACAAATTCTATGTATACTTAGGCGTAGGTTAGGTTAAGTGTTTAGGTTCTGTTGGCGATTATTTGTATTTGAAGTACGTGGGTGAAGCATTTATAGACTTGCGGTTCGAACAGAGGACGTGAGCGAAGCACTTGTTCCGGAAGTGTTCGGACGTCATCAGTTGTGAGTCGTCTGTAAACCGCTTTTCATTCATAACCAGGATGTTTGGCGGCTGGATTAACGAGCTTCTATCTTTGTATGCGAGGAGGGCTGCATTGTGATCATTGCAGATGCGAACTGGTTGGTAGTACAAGGATTTCGCACTCTTGAGGCCCGATTTCGAATATCATTTGAACGATACTGCTCAAAGTATAAAACAAAATATTTTCAAGACTTATTCGTATTAGTCGTATTTGAATAAACAGCCCGTCCTCCAAACAAAGAGCCAAAAGTGATTCCATGCACCCGCCAAACCCCCTGTTTATGAATGAAAAGCGGTTTACACACGACTCACAACTGCTGACGTTCGAACATATCCGGAACAAGTGCTTCACTGACGAATTTTGTTCGAATCACAACGCTATAAATGCTTCACCCACGTACTACAAATACAAATAATCGCCAACAGAACCTAAACACCTAACCTATGCCTATATATACACAATATGCTAATATATTATAATATTAATTTATACTTGAGAAAATTCCCGTTTTGAATAAACAGGATGTTAAAATTTATGAATGCGTCTGTGGGGTTGACCGCTGAATGTAATGGACTTGAGTCGAGGACGGGTTGAAATAAGCATATTCAAAGGCTAGCCTGGCGCAAACTAGCTTGTGCAATAGTTGTATTTTATAGGACAGTTGTTAATTATGACAAAAATCCCGCAACGATTATTTTATTTAATAATTATACAAAATGTCCTTACTTGGGTTTAATGGGAATTCATGTTAGCCACATGTTATTATCAGTGGGATTTTTTGTTTTTGGTCATACATATGGGATATAGGCTCCAAGACTGGTTTACGCCAGTATGTGTATTATACATAAGATGACCATAGCAACATTGTATATCTTCGCCGTATACAAGGTTCTCCTAACTATAGCCTGTATTATAAAATATGTATATCCCTGACAATTTAAATATCCTCATTTCTGTGAAATCATTAAATGAATGGTTAACGTTGAATTGGAAATCATCTGCTGGCCACTGTTGCCGAAGTGAAGCATTTCCATTTTAGCTTTATACACTGTCCGTAGCAAAGCTTATTTTCGAGACAATGATGATGCTGATGCAGTCTCCGATCCAACACCAAACACAGAGTCGCTCTCTGACGTGGAGGTGTCATTAAGAGAAGAGTCTGCGAGGGACAAGTCGGGAGTAGGTAGGTGATGTGAGCTGCTCTGTCTCTGGCTAACATAGAGCTGCCTCCGTTCCCAGAGCCATGTCACCGGCCACTTCCAGCTGTGACCTGTTAAGGGAAATGTTAAACCGTTGATTCACTTCATTCTCAAGTAGATATCAGAGTCATTCTAGCAATATAAAAGTGTTAAAAAGATTCCACGTTGTGCAAACAATTGATCAATATATGCAAATCAAATATTTGAGAGTTAAGTCAATATTACTTTGTACGCACAAATATAAAGTAGATTTGCTTCGAATTTAGATTACACTTATGTTTTCAAAATAAATAAACACGTGAAAACTATTTATATTAATTTAAAACAAAAATGGGAGATAACATTGTTACTTGCGTTTAAGAGCTTGATACAGGTATGCGAAAGAAAACCCCACAAGGACAAAAGAAAAAAATATGACAACAGCACGCCAGATCTCTTCCTTAATGGCGGACAGCTTAATCGTCTCTTCATCTTCAGTGGGCGGCAGCACTGTAGGTGCGACCGGTAGGCAGTCATTCCTGGCAGGCACATCACCTAAGATCCTAGTCAGCGTGGAAAGGCTGGGATCGACTTCATCTCCAAAGGAATTTCCGGCGTTCCCGGTAGGAAATTGATGGCTGCAGTTTGCTTTACTTTCTTGGAGTCCGTAGACGGTCAGGTTTCCGTCAAATGTGACATTTGTATGGGAGACATTAGCATGTCTGCCAGCTGTTCCTGCATGACTGTCTTTGTCAATATTCTCTAGATTAGCCATGGATAAATGTGTATCTTTAATGGTGTCTCATTGCACGATAACGTCCAGAATACAGAAGGGTCTTGTGTCGTCGTCTGCGAATGCTGGAAAGGTAAACAAACATTAACCCGCCAAATACCTTCCCACAATGCCTCAGGCAAGCCCCTGTTTGCTTACGTGGGTCGTCTATTGGTGTATTTTAACATTTATCTTTGTTTATTATACTCAAGTAATTATATATGTCGCATTTTGACAAGAATTTTGAATGAATTGGAATGAAAAAGTGTATGAAAGAATTGGAAAGTTAAAATGAAAAGGACTAATGTGCAACGCTGAGGCGATACTGCCATTATAACTTTAATATCTTGTCTCACCTTATTTCTCTAAGTGGCAAGTCATGAACGAATGGTTTTATATTCATACAAATTGTGATATTGTACTGTAGATAACACCAGTCTACAGCTAAAAATAAATGTGAAACGAATGAAGTCAATCTTGACTAATTCTGGGTCACTGAGAACGGAAATGATGTTTTCAAATTGCTGATTTAGCTCTAGTTTACATCCCAGACGTGTCTTGAAGCTGTTTTGCTACATAATGGCAGTGTTTTGCCATCAATTGCATTTGGGTTTGATGGTTATACATATGAGGAAAACTGTTGGCAACACGAAGCGGCTTTTGAGGTGCATAAATGATGACAAACGTCAGTGGCAGCTGTGTGGCGACTTACAGGTATTTCAGTCCGTCCTCCTAAGATTTCCCAACGTCAAGAAAACGGTCAACTTAAAGTTTCCTCTTCTAACCTTCCAGAGGACCCAAAACAGAAAACGGAACAGTACGTCACTTTTGCGATCCGTTTCCATTTTCTGGTACGACAGTTTTTGGCCTTACACTTACGAGCGAAAAGCGACTTTCTTTGTAAGAAGACAGGTTGAGGTTTGGCTCTTGTGATGGGTCTGCAGGATGGATACACACTGTGCTGCTGGAGGGTAGAAATAGCCTAAGGTACTCTATCCTTTTCAGATGTAACTTATTGTCTCAATAAAGGTACTTGAATGTGCTGCTGTTTTTGTTGCGAGTGGGATAGTCGTGCGAGAGGCTGTCACTGTGTTGCAAGGATGTTATTACCGCTTCTCGCATATAACACGACTGATAATGAGCAATTTTAATAAATAAATTACCCCCCCCCCTCTCCTCACATACGGAATAGAAGTAAAGAGGTATGAACCCTTACCGAGCTTCCTTCAAGAGCCGATGGAATACGATTGATTCACCTAAATGGATGAGGCATATACAGGTTCTTGGTTCACATAAGAATAAAAGGAAACTAGCGAGCCTATTGGCTCCACACATCGCTGCTATTTATATCAACCCAGACTAATTCATGTGTGTCTAACCTTCGTTTGAAACAATCAAGGGAACCTACATCTAGGACGTTACTTTTATGATGGTTTCCTTATATCCCTTTGGGCAAATGACGTTGAGGTAATAATGAATCAACATTGAAAAAAGATACTTAAACATGCTTTAGCCGCTAAAAGTTGGAGACCAGATGCTTGGGGATAGCCTCAGCCAGCTTTGCAGGGTCAATAGTCTGGAGTACGGAATGGACATAAGCTGGTTGGGATCGGTCCTTTTAGTCATATTAACTTGGGGGGGGGGGGGTGCCTGGTAAAATAGTGATCTCATCCACGAAACCTGTGAAATGTGGCTGGTAGAGACCCTAGATCTGAGTATATAAATAAATGGAAATGACTGGTGGACGTTTTGTACTGCCCATAGATATAGGTTTCAGATCTAAACAAATCATAGCTATTTATATACCATAGCTTTTTTATACTATACTTTTTATACTTTATTTTATATATAAAGGTGTTAGAAAGACAACCAAGGACCAGAGTTTTTTTTATTTATTGTCAGAGCTTATTCAAAAGTACAGCCCCATAATGTGTAGGCAAAAGTTAGTACCAATACTCGTAGCCTGATAAGGACTAGGAGTATTGGTACTAACCCTATCGACCGGAAAAGTAGCAGTAACCCAAGTTGATACTCAATTTACTTGTCTGCTGTTACTCTAATCAGTTAAACTTTTCTATGGCTGGAAAGAAACTAGTGAGGTTGGTGGTGCCACAGGAAAGTTATCTGAAAGTTTCCGAGAGTCTGGGAAAGGACAAGACGGCAATCTGGGTTAAGTATCCTCCAACTTGCAGAGTCTGCAACCCATGAGTAGGCTAAGTAATGCTAGGTGGGGAGAAAAAAAAAAAAAAGTTCCAACTCGTCCATCCAGCCATTGTTATTGAACCGGGAATCTTTCCATCTGACCAGGATCCTTTAATGTTTACTCAGCGTGAGTGACCAGGTCTGGAAGCCTTTGCGAGCTTTCAAACAAGTCCCAGTGGCAAAATGGCCAACATAAACGCCAATTCAATGCGAAACACAAACGTTGCAACAGATTTAATGTCATCACTATCCTACCAATTAGGAACAATGAAATGGTTTAACACTGATCAAAACCACGTATTAAACTAACTTTTTTAATAATGGTCTAGGACTGACAAGCGTTTTCTCCATTTTCCGATGTATGGTTAACTTCAGCCTTTAAAATCGATCAGCCTTTTTTAACTCTTAAGCCCTCATTTAACTACAAAATTGTAGTAAAAGTAAAAGCCAGTTTTGTAGTACGTTGCGTGAACATTCGTTAAGACTACCACATTAACTCAACACTTTCAACCTTAAAGTTAATGAATCTGTTAAATAGAACATTGAGTACTGAAATTTTAAGTTAACGTAGCCTACTACCTTCTGGTCACTATTTTCAGTATGTGGTTTGGGAGTCTACATCCAGACGATCTACTGGTATTTACCCGATATATCTTTAGGTTCTTTGAGAACGATCTTATCACGTTACTGTGATCCTCATGTATGGAGAAGAGATTTTCCAAAAGGAGAGAGGTCAAAGTAACTAACATTCTGAAAGTAAATTTAGTCCCTCTACAATTCAGCTGAAGTAAATATGGTAGACAAAACCATTTGTCATGTCTTAATTTACCACCTATGATATTAAAACTAAAGTACGCTGTTATCACTTTTATTACATCTGCTCTATTTCTCTGGTAGAATTTACAAAGAAGGCTTTACAGGTAATGTTACTTCGCCTATTGCATAGAGGCATTCTAGGATATGCGGATCTACATCAAGGAGCAAGGTTTGAATGATTAACTGCATTTGTTCAGTATTAGGAGTCAATAGATTCCCCCTTAATAATTTTTGCCAATAATTAGGAAAATTTAAGAGGTTTCCGCCTGTACAACCTGCTGGGCATCATCTGTGGCAACCTGTTGGGCATCCGCCTGGATATCTGCAGCTTCCGCCTGGATAAGCTGTTGGGCATCTGTAGTTTCTGCCTGGGTATCTTTCTTGGCAGGAGAAAGGGCTTCCGCCTGGGTATTATCTGCGGCTTCTCCCTTGGTAAGCTGCTGGGCATCTGCCTGGGCAACCTGATGGGTATCATCCGTGGCTTCTACCTTTGTAACCTGCTGGGCATCTGTAGCCTCCGCCTGGGTATCTTTCTTGGCAGGATGATGAGCTTCCGCCTGGGCATTATCTGCGGCTTCTTCCTTGGTAAGCTGCTGGGCATCATCCGTGGCTCCTACCTCGGCATCTTTCTTGGCAGGAGAATGGGCATCCCTCTCTACATCTTTCTTTCCTTCTTCCAGAGGAACGTGCTCTTCATTGTCAACGGCTGCCACTTTCTCCGCTTCACTAGCTTCTGTCTGGTCATCTTTCTGCGAATCTCCCTCTGCTTTTATCTGGGTAGCCTCTTGCGAAACCTCATCTGTCAGGGACGCCCCTTTTTTAACCTCTGAAGTTCCTGCGTTCTCGTCGTTATTGGATCCAGTGCTTGCGTGGGCAATATTCGCCTTTTCTTGTGGTTCCAGCAAAGGGTCATCAGAGATCTCTGGGAACCAGTTCGGGAACAAAGCTCCTAGGCGTCGTCGAAGGGGACTTCGGGGCCAAGTTCTCCATGCTGCTGGGAACACAGGTCTGAATTAAAATTTATGTAATAGATTTAATCCAAAATATGAGAAGCTTACGCAAGTAAACATTTATTTAATATTAGTGTAGTTTAGGGGGAACGATTAAACATTTTAACCAGGAGTAAGCATGTTGGCAATCCCTTAAAAAGTTCCCTCTACAGTAATCCGATGCTGCCATTGTGAAAAAATGCTGTTAAGATTATTTTTTTTTTAAATCTGGGAAGAGTAACGCTTTAATATTAAAGGATAAATATGGGAGCAAAATTAAGCTTTGATATTGTCCAAGATTCATAGGACAGTTAAATTTATCCATAACTTAAATCTCCACGTTTCTTTCACAAATTTAAAGTTGCGAAGCAGTTTAAAGACTACACACCTACTTACAAGTGCAACACATTTAAGAGGTGGGGGAACCTTACCGCTCTTTAAAAGTTTGAAAACGTACGCAGCCACCATAATAGCCACGATAAGAGCAACGCAGACTATTAGCCAGCGCCTTATTTTGGCTTTCTCAGGATCCTCTGGTTCATCTTCAAGGATGTCAGAGTCTGCGTCAGTCCCATTAGTGGAGTTCAGGTAGGGCAACCAGCTCAAGAAGTTGAATTTGTTGTGGGAGACGCCCTGGATGATATTTTCTTTGGGTCCCGAGCTGGCTTCAGTGACGTAGTGTCTAGACTCGCTAAGGGGCCCCGCCGAGTAGTCAGCATCAGCCACAGTCAAGTTAGCCTCGTCACCTTCAGACAGGTCGAGATGTCCTGGAGACACGTCGACCGGGTGAATTTCTTCATTTTCCATATTTAAAAGGAGACGAGCACGTATCTGAAACTATAATACGTACAAGATCACAAATCAACCTGGAAGCTCCATATTAGCAACAAAACTGGAATTTTATCAATCAGAATGATAAAAATGCGAAACTATGTTCATTAAAACAAAAAATTATTACAGCGTCAGTAATCTCGCAAAGCACCAATCGTCACCGTAAAAAGCCTCTTACACACCAGCCGCAAAATATATTAGGAAAATCGTGGAGAACCTACACTAGTGGCGACCGTTGTCACAGTGCGACGCAGTTCTCGGCGACGTGCAAGGAAACCATCGCTCCATAATTAGCAAAACAATTGAGGATGGTAGAAACAACTTAACGGGTAATTCAATCATGCGCAGCGGCCGCTGGCTGTCTCCGTTCAATGTTGTAGGACACATTTTTTCTCGCAAATCGTTTAATTTAATAATTTGCTTTGTATTGTAGAACATCAGTAGTTACATTGAGAGAACCGTATATTTTAGAAAAAGCTTATATTGTCAGCCTATCCTCATAAACAAACGCCAACTGCTCGTTAATCCTCAAGTGCTTTGTTCACGTCCTCTGTTCGAATCACACCTCTATAAATGCTTCATCCATGTTCTGAAAATAGCCAGCCCGTCCTCGAAACAAAGACTTCAAAAGTGATTGCATGCATCCGCCAAACTCCCTGTTTATGAATAAAAACGGTTTACACAAGACTCACAATTGATTTCGTTCGAACACTTCCAGAACAAGTGCTTCACTGACGAATTTTGTTCGAATCACAACGCTGTAAATGCTTCACCCACGTACTACAAATTCAAATAATCGCCAACAGAACATAAACACCTAACCTATGCCTATTTATATGCACAATATGCTAGTTATAATATTTATTTATATTTGAGAAAATTCCCATTTTGAATGAACAGCATGTAAAAGTTTATGAATGCGTCAACCCGTCCTAGACTCAAGTCCATTACATCCAGTGGTCGACCTCACAGACGCATTCATAAACTTTTACATGCTGTTCATTCGTATCGGGAATTTTCTCAAATATAAATTAATATTATAATATATTAGCATATTGTGCATATATAGGCATAGGTTAGGCTAGGTGTTTAGGTTCTGTTGGCGTTTATTTGTATTTGTAGTATGTGGGTGAAGCATTTACAGCGTTGTGGTCCGAACAAAATTCGTCAGTGAAGCACTTGTTCCGGAAGTGTTCCAACGAAATCAGTTGTGAGTCTTGTGTAAACCGTTTTTATTCATAAACAGGGGGGGGGGGGGGGTTGGCGGATGCATGGAATCACTTTTGAGTCTTTGTTTGGAGGACGGGCTGGAATGCGTCTGTGGGGTCACGGGAGACATCTCCCGTCACGCAGGGTGCAGTCGCACCTTCACAGATCTCCAGTATCAGCTCTTGATACTGGTAATGGCTCAAAAGGGCCACCACTTACGGGCTATTCATGCCCGTGCCACCTTTTGGGTAGCTGAATCTTCATCAATCAATCGTCTGTGGGGTTGACCGTTGGATGTAATGGACTTGAGTCGAGGACGGGTTGCTGAAAATGCTTCACCCACGTACTTCAAATGCAAATAATCGCCAACAAAATCTAAACACCTAACCCAACCCAACGTACGCCTAGCTATACATAGAACTTCGATATATATATGACCGAAACGCTGCGCGTACTAGTGGCTTTACAAGAATGTAATTACTTTGCTATGTATCCTCACAATCCCAATGTACCTTCTTGTGTGTACAAGAAGGTACATTGTAGTACGTACGTACTACAATAGTACGTACAGAAGTACGTACTGTACGTACTACAAATGGTAGTACGTACAGAAGTGATAGTACTCAAGTTCAAGTACGTTTATTGAGACAATGAAATACATCTCAAAGGGATAGTAGCTTAGTATTATCATTCGGAAGGAAGAAATAGCCTATCTTGTCGAGCATAGCAGATTGTTCTGCCGAATCCAAGCGTTCATGTTTTGTATTACTGAATTAGCCAAAATGACATTTCTGTTCAATAGGTAGCGATCAATTTTCTTGCATGACATTTATAGTACACCATAAGTACAACACGAACTTCTTAAAGTACACTTCATTTATGGCACATTTCACCCAGAGCTCTTGTAGGTATATGTGGAATGTGTGTTGATAAATGTAGATATTTGTTGGAATTAACTTTGACAAATTGTTTTCAGCAATGTCTTTTTAAATAACCCATCCTCCAGAATGAGAATGCTGTGTAACAACTATTTGATCGAACGTACAAAAATAGACTGATGCAGCTCCTCAACTCGTCCTCTTAAAAATAATGTCAATTTTCGCTCGTATGCACTATGGCCAAAAATGGACATAATTTGAAATTAAATCGCCTCACAAAAGTGATGTACTGTTCAGTTTTCTGTTTGAGTCCTCCGGCTTATTCGGAAAGGTTAAGAGGAAACTTTCAATTAATGTTTTTCATGACGTTTTGAAACTTTAGGATAATTTCCTGCCCTCCTAATCTACCAGAAGACCCTTAATTTACTGTTTTGGAAAAAAACTATCCCAAATTTATTTTCAAATCTTTTTCAATTTCGAATTAGGTCCATTTTCGGCCATACGGGCAAACAGCCAAATACAGGCGTAATTTGTAGTTAATGTTCATACTTTGTACTAATAATTTAGTAGAGGGGACGAAAAAGTTTCGTGCTACTCTACTAAGCTTTCCTAGGCCTAGTACACAACACATACTAAATTAGGCCTAAGATAGCTTATATTAAGCCTAACGTTGCATATTTAGATCAAAGGCAGGTATAAACATCATATTTAGACCAAAGGCCGGGTACTCGTCACCGACGCCCCCTCCCTTTCTGGCTTGTTGTCGCCGTGAGGGGGCTTAGTGGGCGGCTGCCTGAGTGTGATGCTCCATGGGTCAGTCCTCTGTCCTTTTGGAGCCTTATGCTCCGGCTGCTGTCATTACCAATCTTGCCAGAACTCTTTTCCTTTTCCTTGTGTTTCGTTTTTCTACCCCCCCCCCCCTCTTCTCCTTTCTAATTGTCATTTCCTGCCGACCTTTCGCCCGTTTTGATTATTCTCTTGGACTTCTATTTTGACGCCCGGGTGTTTGAGGAGGCATACTCTTGCACCCGTAGAACTGTAGTACCCAACGTCGAGAGTGAGGGGAACCTTTTATTGTCAATCCTCCTTTCGTCACTGAACCCGATCTCGACGGACTGACGGTTCTTAAGGTGGCGTTTGTGGGGCGTATACTCACGACGCACCCCTGGGGGGGAGGGGGGGCCGGCAAGATCGGCGATAGCTTCTTGTTGGGTGTCCTGCCTCTAATTGTGGCTCCATGGTGGGTTTGGGGGCACATTCGTGAATGAAAGTTTTTTCCTTGTTTTCATGGCTGATAATGTTTCCCTTGTTCCTTCTCAGGCTCGTGGGGTGGGCGACCAAGCCCCCGGGTCGGACTGTGTTGGAAGACCAGGCCTTGTAGCCCCGCTGCATTGGGCCCCGACCCCCTGACTGCTCCCCTCAGCTCCCCCCCCTCCTCTGCGGTAGGGTCGAGTTCTCAGTCCCCAGTGGTGACCACCTCGTCCCCTGGCACGGCTCCGTCTCATTGTGACTACTACGCCTTTTACCCCCTCTCTCTCAGGGGGTTCTCAACGCCGTACCCGCCACGGCCGCACTCACACGATCCCTTCTTGTACTAATACTTACAACGCCTTGATTGGTCCCGCTACGTGGGCTAAATACTTTGATCTCCACCATCTGGATTCTACTCCTGACGATTTCTCCCTCCATAAACACCTTGTTGATTCAGTAGATGCCTCTGTTACTTTTAACTCCACCAGTTACAGTATGCGTGTCGTCGCTGCTCCTTCTCAGGATGCAGCTACTCGCTTAGCCGCTTTGTCCTGCATTGGAGAGACCCCTGTTCGGGTCTCCAAAAATGCTCGGTTAAATGCCAGTGTTGGCACTGTTCTCCCACACCATGTTGCAACTGGTGTTCGGGACCTCAAAGATTGCCATGAGGATATTAAACATATCCTCGAAGTCCAAGGCCATTCTGTCCTCCAGGTGGACACGTTTACTCGACCCCCTCGTGGTCGTCGCCGTCAGCCCCTTCGAGTTGTTAAAATCACCTTGATAGTAGGGCCCTTCCGCCCTCTATTATTCTTGCTGGTGCCAAATGCTCCGTTCAGGAGTGCATTCCCTCTCCTAGACTTTGCAATAAGTGTTGGAAGTTCGGGCACGGTGTCCTCAAATGCACCAGTACTGTGTATCTGTGCCCCATGTGTGGGGATGATAGTCATTCTAAGTCCGAGTGCACTTCTCCCCAGGCTCGCAGCTTCAATTGCGGTGAGGCCCGCCCTACTTTCTCACGCTCGTGTATACACTACAAACTCGAGGAAGCCGTCCTCAACTTGAAGCACCGTGATCGTCTGTCTTTTCCTGAAGTGAGACGCCAAATTCGTCGTCTCACCCCTTTCGCGGGCGTATCCTACGCTCGTGTGTTGCGTTCTACCTCTCCTCGTCCTTCCCACCTTCCTCAGTCTCACAACCGTTTCCAGGCCTTATACCCAACCACACCCACCACCTCCTCCCCATATTCCTTTGCCTCCTGTCCCGCCAGGTCTCCCGCCTGGTTCTCCGTCTGGGGTTTCCCCCCTTCCTACCCAGTCCGCCATATCTCCATTGTCTTCTTCCCCATCTCCCCCCACTCTTTCTTCCCGACCCTCCCCCCAGTCTCTTGACCCTCTGCGCCACCTGTCTGTCCAGGCTGATATTCATCTTCCCAGCAATCTTCGTGTTCGCTCCAGTTCCTCTTCTCCTGCTGAGACCATTGAGTCTGTCGCCCGGTACATTGTTACTGGTACGCCTGTCTCTTTGAGTCAGAAACGTAAGCCTGGTTCTTCTTCTTCCTCTCCAGCGGGTAAGAAGTTATCGCTTTCTTCCTCGCCCCCTCCCTCTGACTCTGTCACTACGTCCCCTCCCATTTCAGTGGTCGGACCCCCTGTCCCAGTTATGGAGGTTTCTTTCGCCCCCAATTCCCTCTCGGTTGCTGCCCTTGCTGAGGTGCACTCCGTGATTTCTGCCCCCCTTCTCCAGCTGTCTTTGCTTGACCCTCTCAGTTGTCTCCTCCTCCGGACCCTGTCAGTCCGCCTCTTGTCTGCTCCGCTTCCTTCCCTCTATCCTTACTCAGTTTACCCATGCCCCCTAACCCTGACCCTGATCCTGAGATTCTTTAATAAACTGTGTTCTTCTTTACCTTTGTTCCTTTCT